ACAACAACAACAGCAGCAAAACCTGCAACAACAGCAACGAAGCCGACAGCAACAACAGTATTAGCAACATCAACAGCAATAACAACAACCGCAGGAACAACAATAACAACAACAACAACAGCAAAATAAGCAACAACAACAACAACAACAACAACAACACCAACAACAACAACACCACCGATAACGACAACGACAACGACACCGACACCGACACCGACAACGACCACGACAACAACACCAGCAGCAACAACAACAGCAACAACAGCAACCGCCGCAACAACAACAATCACAGCAGCAACAACAACAGCAGCAGCAACAACAAAGCAACACCACGACCAACAACAACAACAACAGCAACAACGACAACAACAACAACCACAACGACAACGACAACGACAACGACAACAACAACAATAAGTTAAACACCAACAATAGGGTTAACAACAACGACGCCGACAACGATAACGACGATGGCGACGACGTCGGCCACAACGACCACATCAATGACAACGACGATGACGACAACAACAACAGCAACAACAAGACAACGACAATGACGACGACGACAACAAAAGCAACAACAACAGCAACAATATCGACGGCAACAACAGCAACAGCAACAGCAGCAACAACAGCGACAACAGCAACAACATCGCGAGCAATCACAGCAACCGCAACCGCAACAGCAACAACAACAACAACAACAACAACAACAACAACAGCAGCAGCAGTAGTAGCAAGAACAACAACAAGAACAACATAATCAACAACAACACCTGCTGCTGCTGCTGCTGCTGCTGCTGCTGCTGCTGCTGCTGGTGGTGGTGGTGGTGGTTGGGTTGTGTGAGTGGTGGTGGTGGCTTCTGCGCAGCTCTTAAGGTAAAGCTCATGTTCGAGCGTGACCTCATGAAGATGAAGGCCAGGCACCAGCGGGGCTCGGAAGAATTGCTGTTGGGACAGAGAAGCCGGATGGTACTTGAAAAATGGGCTCATATACTTGACTGGGCTTCATTCATTCCAACTGCCATCAGGGCTTTTGGCCCATGCCCGACGAGTTTCCCATCACCGAGACCATGAAGATCAGCCGAGATGATCACACAGAGGCACTCAGCGGTTGGGATGGCACTCGGACAGATGGCAATGTGCTGCCAGTTCTTTGCCAGCTCTCTTCTTTGGACTTGCCCCCATACTTCTAGGTGAAGCTAGGCCATGGTGATGACTTCTCACCCTGCGTATGCTTTGATGGGAACTCTTTTGCCGGAGGGAAGACAGCCCGGGACACGTACACACGCACACACACACACACGCCTACACAGCTTGCACGTGCTAGGAATTGCTTCGAGATGCCCTGGAGTTACCACCCCTCGCGCAAGCACAAGTGCTGGGCACTCGGTCTTTCTTTGGCTCGCTTCGGATTGTGCAGAAAGTGACATCGAAAGAAGATATGGCTGGTAAGCACATCAGGCAACATTTTGTTCCCCAGTGAACACCTCGTTGAATCTAACTCAGAGTGCATGATAGAAAATCAAGGCAAGAAGAGCACATTGCGCTCTTCGTGCTGACGCAGAGAAAGACTCGACAGCTGCGCCGCGCTTAGCGTGCAAGGAATTTCATCCTATGACTTGACTTCAATCGACGATGCTGTAGTACCTCGGGCCCTCCAGAGCCAACCTGCGCAAATCGCACGAGATGTTGTTTCCACCGCTTACCATTGAGCGACGTTCCAAAGCCACCCGATGAAACATATAGTCATCAACATGCAGTTTGGGCCGCGAAAGGCCACACCACTTATGTACTTGCGAAGGGTTCGTAAAAAGGGGCCTGCTGTCCGTTCATACATTGTAGTGTTCCACTTTTCAGACCCCGCGACGCGAAAGCACTGCGGAGATACTTGCATAGATTGGACTGATTTAGAAGACGCCGAGCCTTGCGGACCGGCAAGAGCACATTCTTGACAAGATGCTGACAGACTCTGATGGGATGGACTGTACACGTCACAAGATGCACTAAATTGGCATTGGTACTTTGCGGCATGTGTGAAGCTTCAACTTGAAGTAAGGGTTGTTCAAGGGCAAGCAGCCAATTTCAGATATCTTCCTTAAAAAAACAAGTTCACACAAGGTCCCTCAAGAACACATCCCCTTTTTGGACAAGCCTCAGGTGATTTCAAGTTCATGGTGCTTCACTTTAAGCGCCGTCGTGCTATAGACACGAGGCGCTTCAAGTATTTGCCGCTCAGCGATGCCTTGAAGTGCCACACCACAGTTGGGGCGCCCATGCCGTTCGCAGAACGTTCCAATCGGGGGGGGGGAAGGGTGAACGTGGGATTGATGTAGGGGGATTCCTGGGATGAAGAAGGTCTTCCAGAGTTTTGCATTGACTTGGAGCATTTCCACTGGACAACTCCTTTCTGCGCTCTTGCTCATGTTGACTTGGCAGATGCATTGCTAGTGCCACAGGGAGACTCAGGACACGCATCTGACGGTGCTGGTCATGGTCTCTCAAGGCGCGCTTCGTGGGATTCGTTTCGCTTTCCATTGCTTGCAAATTGGTTTGAAGAGCTGCTTTTGGAGCGATGAGTCTGATACTTCCCTGTCCGTGCTCGAGTCTGTGCTCGCCTTGCTCGCAAGGCTATGACCCACAGACTCTGGAGCCTGGCGGTGACAGCGAGGAGGTCGGGGCGTTGATCTGAACTGGCTTCAATGGATTGATCTTTCGCTTCATTTGGCAGGTGGGGCTAGATTTTTGGGGGCGCCTTTTGCCAGCGCGGCCTTCTTGCATTAAAAGGCCCCTTGCTTGTTTTCAATGGCCCCAACCGTTGGCCCTGCCGAAAGGTGAGCGAACGAAGGAAAATCACTGGCAATGCTTTCCAGGTACCTCACCAGCTTTCCAATTGGACGGAGGAGCTGATTCTGCTCGTGGTGAAGTGACCTACTGGATTTTGCATGCCCATTTCAAGCAAAACACCTTTGTTCCATTGCCTGCTGGCCATGAAATATGATATTCATGGATTGCAGGAGTGCATCTTGACCAAAGCAATGCAGCGCTGCTCTCTCGGAAACACGAGGTACTTCTGCCCGGTGAAGCAGGTGATCGTAACCTTGGGCCCCGCTCCGAAGAGTTCTCGCCAGGGGTTTTCTTTTTCGCGAGTGGCCGGCAAGTTCTGCGAAGTCCGCCGGGTTTCCTGCGTGAAGTCACCCGCATCGGCGACTTTCCTCGCGTGGCGAATGCCTCAGGTTGCTACTACTCGGAGCTCTCGGAGCCTCTCAAGGCCTGGGGCTCATGTGAGGTGGGTCAAGATCCAAATAGGTTCCAAAATGGGAGGTGAATTCACCACCCCAAAATGGGATCCCATTGGTTTTGACCACAGCCATGTGACGCGATGCCAGCCAAGCAACCGATGGAGGGGGCTGAAGCTTGCGCGCATGAGTGTTGGATCTGTGACGTGGCGAATCGTGATTTCGGTTATTGCTTGGTCAACTGTGAGCTATTTTGGCGGCTCAATCTCGCTGCTCCAAGAGTTTCGAAGGACATGGCAGACACGGATATGTGCAGCACTCTCTCTGCCTTAAGTTTGGAGCCGCCAAGTCGCGTGGCCCTGCGGACGCTGTGCCGTAGAGTCATCGAAGGCGTCTACGAAGCTCGCGAGTTCCAAGCCCAAGGCAAGGATGGGAAAGCGGAGATCGAGGCTGAGCCTAGGCAGACAGAAGGCTCACTGCCTTCACGTGACGCTTATGTTGTTGCAACAGGATCCGGCAAATGCCCTCTCCCACAGGAGAGAGGCAGTAATCCCCACATGCCGGGTTTGCGTGCTCCCTCGGGGGAGCAAGGCGGTCTTCATGCTGTGCAATCCTGCTAGTTGCAATGCACAGGCTGCAAGAGTCAATCGACAAGCCAAATTGTTTTCATCTGTTCCCAGCCCCACTCGAGAGACTCGAGAGCACCCGGCAGCCTTTCCTGCACCGATATGATCTATCTTGGCTTACCATTCAATGATTCGCAATGCTTTGCTAGCTGGCACTGGCCAGGTGCTTGAAATCAGTTCTCTTTTGTCCACAAAGCCTCGCTGACAGGAAGAGTGGGCTTGTTTAGGCATTGAACGTTGACGCATATTCTCTTGTCCGCCACTGCCTGCCTAAGATAGTGCAAGAATGGCACGTATCGGTCAGGCAAAGGATGGGCAGTCGGAGAATTCTTGTGCATTCGCAAGTTTATGTACGTTTTGGAGCAAGGGAAGAAGGGACATGCAGCTGATTTTGTGACTCACTTCATGATTTTGCCCATCCAAGCAGAGAAGCAGCTCCGTTCCCGAAGGCCACCACTTTTTGCAACGAGTGACAGTGGGCGAAGGCTCACCGTCGCACACTAGACCGGATTGGCCGTGCCTCGCTTCATTCTTGATTTAAGTGCACAGCTGAGGGCACAGCGCTGACCTTCTGAAGTTCAGATGGCGGTAAGGGCGGCTGCCTCCCCTTCGTTGCAATGTCCACGTCAGTGTTGCTTCCTTCTGGCTTGATGTTCTGAACACGCACACATTCTTTGACTTTCACATTGTCCCACAGAATTACTCTATGGCCGCGCCAAGAAAGCATTTCCGCTACTGACCGCCGTGTTATCCTCCGGTGGAGGTCGAATCAGGCAAGCTGTAGTCTGTAGGTTGTGGACGTGCGTCAAGCCTTGTGCCAAATCTTTCGTCTCACCCAGTCATCAGCGAGAGCTAGACTGCAACGCCAGCACCGCGCCACCTTTGCTGCTTGAATGTGTTGGGACTTGATGACTGCCCACCCGTTATAGCCAAGCAACTGACCCTTGGCTCCGTCCCAAGGCAATGCTGCATCCGAGTTCTCCTTGGCTAGCACAGCGTCTTCTTCCTTATGTGCAGAGGGGTGAGGCACGTTGCATACCAGAAGCTGGCGTGCCTTCAGTGTTTCAATTGTGGGATGATAGGGAGGCTTGTGAAGCTGAATTTTGGCACATCCGGTCTAGAGTTCCTTGGGGCAGAAGTGACACTTTGGCCTCCGATGCAAGTACTGCCATCAAAAGATGGCTGTGGGTCAAAAGGAATGGTACCATTTTGGGGTAGGTGCACCACCCATTTTAGTGTTTTTTAGTGGGGATTGGGATGTTCACGTGGGGGTACGGGCTTTTGACCCATGGCCACATCAAACGATGACTCTGAGGTCGTGCCCTATCGCCATGCCAGGTGGCTGATCCGCCGGCGACGCAGTGGCAGTGCTGGGAAGAGTGGGGTCGAGCCCCGAAGGAGCGACCCGAATGAGGCCCCTTTCCGAGGGTGGACCTATCGACCTATCTGCTCAGGAGATCAAGCCCCTCAACATCGAGAAAAGCATGAAGGAAGAGGGTCTGTGCTCCCCGCGAGAGAGAGAGAGAGAGTTGTGTGCTAGGGAAGAATTGCCTCCGGCTCAAGCATTGCATCCCTTGCATTGCAATCAACTTTCTGTGACAAATCATGGCCCTCACTCCAAATTTGAGGCTGCACCGGGCACTAGTTGTCAACGGCATTAGCAAGTTTTGAGCGTTCCGGAATTTGGAAATGCGGTCCTCAAGTCAAAGCATCTCTGCTTGGGTTCTGGTTGATGGGGGTGGGGGGACGGAGGTCCAGGGTGGGCCGGCTTAGGCGTGTGGCGTGTGGCGGTGGTGGTGTGGTGGTGCAGAAATTAACCTGGAGCTGCGGAGTGCGAGAGCAGTGCAATGGGCGTCAACAGGATTACTCGTAGAAATGGGAAGAGGTTCGAGATCGGGAGGAGCTGCGAGATTGGTGGCGCGGACGGTGCGAGATCGGGGAAACGGTCTTGGACGTCGCGCGTGATTGGTGACAGTGGTCCTCGCAAGGGTGGCGGGAACGGTCGCGAGGACCGTGCCAAACGCACCAGTTTCTACCGGGGTGGTAGCGAGACTGGGGGAGGACATTGCCTTGCGAGAGCCGTGGCGCAGTCGTGTTTGGCGCCGCGCCGCGGTGGGAGCGAGACACAGGACCACTTGGACTTTGTGCCAGGGCGAGATCGAGACAGGGACAGCATGCTGCACAGACGAACCCGGTGGACTTGGAGACGCGTTGCGGACGGAGCGTGGGATGTGACGCCGGCACGGCAGCTGCGGCTTGTTTCTACATTTGGCATCAAAGCGGCGAGAAGGCCTTTTACGCGTCCAGCCTGAGTCACCTTGAGACGGCGCAGATTTCGATGACTCTTCGAGCCAACTCTGACCAAAACACCGCTTTTCCCGGGTCTGAGCCAAAGCAGCCCGATCCTCGCTCGCCAAAACCGTTGTTTCGGGCAGCGGGCGCATTTGACGACCGCCCCTCGCGCCCCGTGCACGACAGGTTTTTTTGGTAAAGCCTGAGCCACGCAACCACCCTAGCGCCATCTGACTCAAACGGCTCCGCTATGGGGAAAAAGTGGCGCGAAAGTTTCTTCCGGCTAGCGCCGTTTTGACGTCGGAACCGAATCTGACTCCCGCACGGCGGCGGATCGGGGCTGAGAAGCAGACTTTTGAACTTCCGGCAAGGCTGTGGCCCTGCGAGGCCTTATGATTTTTCCTCCGTTTTTGTGCACTGGAGTGCTTGTGCCTGCATCTATTGTCAGTGCTTGGCTGCTTTGGCAGTTTCTTGTTAGCATGGCTCTTTGATGCCTGGTAAGAAGGCAATACCAATGTCGTCATAGCTTTTGTTCTTCGTCTTTGTTGCATAGCGGAGTTAGCAAGTTTGTTTTTCGGCTTTGTTGCCTTCTTGGCTTTTGCATTTTGTGTGCCAGGTACTGCGGTGACGTGGTCATTTGGCAGCCGCTGAGCGCTTGCGGTCCACGAAGACCAGGCGATTGGGGTACCATTCCCAGGTGAGCATTGAACAGAGTTTTCACTCGCATTGACTTGCCTTTGCTTTAGCAGTTTCGGAGAAAAACCGGCTTGCAGCATTGGATTCATACAGTCTACTAGACTTCAGTCGATGGTTTTCCAAACAACGGTCAAATTGCAACCTTACGCACAAGTCCAATGAGCCAATCCAAAGGCCATCTAAGTTGATTTTGACAGCTTGTGAGGACCCTTCTCAGGTCCCAAGGAATCTTTTGGATAGGTCAGCTCTTTCAGCTATGTTCCAGATTTTCTTGGAGTTTACCCAGTGATTTGCGCACTTCCCAATAGCAAGCCTGTTGCTGAGCTAGTTGGCGTGCGATCGCAGTCCACATCATGTCGCCTGGAGAACAGCTGGAATGATATGACAGCAAGCAGGAACGGGCTATTACTGTACGGTCATCCCAGAAGGAGCTTTTGTGGATATCCAGCCAAGAACAACGACTCAGTCTTTAACTCATTCTCAGCAAGCCTCAAACAGGTAGATGAGCTTCCTTTGCATTCCTGGCGAGCTTCAGCGGTTTTTGGCGCGCAAGCTTAACCAGACTTCTCACATACTTCTCATGGGGAAGCTGCATGAAAGACGTTGAGCCAACCGGTGCGGCCCCGAAGGTGCTGACGAGGCAGGGAGAATTTGGTCGCATGAGGCAGAATTCAAGGGAACTCGGCTCCTGCATTCCTTTTGCCGTAAGTCGGGCCGATTTCTGAAAAGCTTCAACTGGAATAGGATGGCAGAGATATCAAGCGACTGGCGGATCGTGGCCAAAAATCACTTGCATTTATGGCCAAAATGTTCTCTCCCAGGTTGCGAAGCACTTTTGCACCTCTGCACGGCGGGGGGAGAAAAGAAGAACTGCCAGAAAGGCTAGAGTCATTGCTTGAGAGCCAGGAGGAGGTGCTTCCGACCGTGCGTGACTTTGCGGAGCTCTGCATGCCAGTCTGGCACGCTTGCCACCTCATTTAATGAGGGTTTCATTCCAACCTGAAAAGGGTGCCCTCAAAAACACAAAGCCATTTCACCCCTGCCAAGGCCGGCTGGCATGGCATATCTCAGCTTTTGTTCCCCACAGGTTTCACTGAGAGTCCTAGCAAGACGCAAGACACGCCAAGGGGGAATGCGTCAGGATCCTCTGACCGCCTGGCCAGGAACCACTTGCGAGTGATGGTCAGATTAATGAGCGCCGAGGCTCGCAAAGTCTGTGAATTTTATTGGGGGACCCCCTGAAAAGTGATTGGTGGAGATAAATCCCCACCTAAATGATGTCCACCAAGGGTCCCGAATTCAAATTCATACCCACATGGGTGTGGCTCAAAATTAAACAGGGGCAAACCACAGGTTTTGGTTTCCATGTTTCCACTTACCAGGGTTCCATTGTGGTAGCTGTTTTTTGACCCACAGCCACATTGATACCTCGAGGGTTCCATGAAGCTCTGCTTACACTTGGGATGCAGCAAGCGGAAAATGCGTACCTCTCGGGTGTGAGTTCTCAGGCACCCCTGTGCCCAGAGGGCATTCCAAGCCAGTTGGAGCTTGGGCAGTCAGGGGCCCCAGTGATGTAAGCAGAGAGGCGAGCGTTAAAATGAACAAAATCAACCTTAGTATAGATATTATATATACATAGGTACATAAATCGCCCCCTCATTCGCAAGAGCTAGGCCCTTGCCAGTATCTCGCGGTTGCTGAGGCCATTGCCGCCGGGCTTGGTGCGCCCAATCTCCGAGGCGCGGAAAATTTCTGAAAGGGACAAACCAGTTTCAGCAGCTATTGTTCAGGGCTCCTTAAAAGATCTCCATTTCGCACATTTGAAACATTGCTTTTTCAACACCAACATAAAGGGAAACCACCATTTACAAGGCAATGTTCAGGTGTATAATGTAAGGATCCCTATTGTTTGTCGTGGTTCTTTGCTGTTGGTTCTTTCTTCTTTGTGGGTTCCTGGTTCCTGGTTCCTGGCAGATCGTTCTTGGTTCTTGGTGGTTGGTTGTTGGTCCAGGCAGGTAGGCCGGCCCCAGAACGCCATGCGATTCAGCAAGAAAAAACACATGAGGCCCAGCAGATCTTTTGCCCCCAACCCACAACCAACATGCTAAGCACAGCACCACAAAAGAACACTCGCAACAGAACGCTCGCCTTTCGGCCGATGATCTTCGTTTGAGGCGCATTTTTCGACACAAGCTGTGCAGTGTCCGAACCAATCCTTTACGGAAGGTATATGTCCAACAAGTGCTTGCCGAAGCAAGGATAGTTTCTGGAACAAGCTCGTTTTCAAGCGATGCTTTCCGAACAAGGGTACGAGCCCAAAACCCAGTTTCTGAAACAGTTCTCGACCCTGCTGAATGCTTCGAGCATCATGCGGCATTCGACATGACACTGTACCTCCCTGAAGACAAACCAACCTCGGAAGTCTCCGCGGGCTCCACGCTCGTTCTTTTGCCAAGGCCACTGAAGGTGCAGAGCTCAGTCTTCTCTGACACGTGGATTTCTCCAACCAAGGTTTCACGGTTTTCCCTTTGCTCTGATCCCAATTGCCGTCTTGCCCAAAAGTTAAACACTCCATGGAGGTTCCAATCCCACGGCATTCCGACCATGGATATGTCCATAGCTCTCGCGAGGTTCGCAGGAGGTCCCGGGCCAGGCTGGGAGCCGCGAAATCTCCGCGCTGGTCGGTCTGAGCTAAGACATGTTCTGGAGGTTTTGCCGTGTCTTAAGGGAAATTCTTGATTGGTGGATGCCAGAGCTGTAGCCAAAAGCTCCAAAAGGACCTGCGCCGAAAACATTGCTCCTGCAATGTGGCTATACATAGGAGATGCTGCGCTTGAACGCCCGCCTCATTGGCTGGCCCCCTCTTCCCAGGTTTGGTCTTAGGCGGGCTTGTTGCCAAAGCGCTCACGCAGTGTGATCTAGAACTCTATTCTGGTATGGGCTGCAACTGCAACTGGGCAGACACAGTCGCCGCGGCCCGTCGCGTCTGGCAGCCTGGGTCGGACTTTCCATCCCGTGCTTTCTTCAGCTCCGGAAATCAATTCGATCTCCATCCAAGTTGCAGTTGCAAACTGATCTTGGAGCTTCAAGTCGTTGGCCAGCTGCGACTTCCCTCGCATGAGACTTCCATCTCCTGGGCCTTGGCTCCTAAGCAGGCCCACGACCTCAGCACACGGCCCTTCGCTGGGCAGATGAGACTCAGATGACTTGAGAGAAGGCGCTGGTATTTCGGATTTGCAATTTTGAACGCAGCTGATTTGGTGGGGGAGCATCGTGATGGCTCTGGATGAACATAATAGTTGGTGCTTGTTTGCGATTTATCGCAAAGAGCTGCAGAAGGAAGAGCCAGGCAAGGGTCACTAAACCCTACACTGGCAGAGCTGCAAGGATGCTGGAAGTCACTTGATGCTCAAAGCTCCGAGGAGTTTTTGATTTGGGCCGAGGGAGGTGGCCAAGTCCATGAAGGGTTTGGTGCATGGAGTCAGTGTGGAAATCAAACATGCTTCAGATCTTGCTGATCGCACAGCTTGGTGCTGAGCTGCAGAATCCTGTTGCAGTGTTGCCTCCGAATCAGGGCGGAAAGCTTGGTTGACAGCATACGGCTGTGGTTATCAAAACCAATTGGATCCCATTTTGGGGGTAGGTGAATTCACCACCCATTTTAGAACCTATTTTAGTGGTTGGATTGAGTCGGATGTTCACCGGGGGACCGGGGTTTCCCATAGCCATAGAACTGGATGGCTGCTGCTCTAGGGTATGAGTCAATGAGGCCGTGGTTCAGGTGTTGCAGCATCGTGCTGGTTGATGTTGCCATAGGTGTCCTTCTTGGTGGTTTGCTAGAAAAATAGACGGGTTTCCCTGGTTTACCTGGTGGTTTAAGCATCTACCAGGGAAACCCAGCTATTTCCCCTATGGTCCTTGCTTCTGATAGCGCCTGGTACGTAGCGGCTTAGCGTCCAGAATTAACTATACAGACTTTGTACAGCGACAGAGTCCCGGAGATTTTAGATTCCTCTCGGAGGATCCATGAAACAAGTAGCCATGACATGATCAAGTTGTTTTTCTTATTCAATTTTCCCATATCAGGTAGATGGCTGCAAGGCATCGCAACTTAGAACATCTTAGAACACATGGCCACAAACAGATACTTCTCCAGCCTTTGTCTGTTTTCGGCGGACCTTCCACAGCTATAGCCAGTCACAGATGCCATGCACCAATTTATTGGACAAATAAGGCTGGACAAATAAGGCTGGACAAATAAGGCTGGACAAATAAGGCTGGACAAGATACACATCATTGTTTGGCTTGACAAACATGGTAAGTGAAAAGGGAGTTTGTCGCGCCCTATATATATATATATATATGTACATCTGCACATGGCAGAGACAGGCCGGCTGCTGCGCCCACGTGGTTCGTTCGCAGGTGACTTGCCTGGAGATGACCATCGACGTGAGATGGCATACTGACCAACTTGCAAGGAAAATCCTTCAGGTGCGGCCCGGGTTGCCGGATGCAGCCACTTTGTACCTCACACAGATCGTTGGGTGAAGGCTTTTGGCTAAGAAACGTGGACTTTGTGGGCTGCCCTTGCTTGGCTTTACTTGCGTTTTCGTGTAGGCGGGCAAGCATATGTGGCCATGTCACAGCTTGCGGCAGGCTTTGCAGCTTGAGCAGGCGCGGTCAATGGGCATTCTGTTGCGGCTGACCCCAAAGTCCAAAAGCAAAGCAAGTGGGATGCAATTGGCTGACGTGTGCCGCCCTGGCGACCCGGATTTCTTGTCCCTCGGATCGCGTAAGGGGGAACCCAGCAATCCTCTCACCAGGCCGAGGGCAAGCGCTTCTGGGTCTTTGACGGCGGCGCACCTTCCGCCAGCCGCAATGCAGCCATGTACCACAGCAAGGACGGCATGCTGTTTGGAACTGGCATGCGGTTGAGAACCTGTTGTCGGAGTCAGGAAGCTCTATTCTTTGGAAGAGCCAAGTCCAAATTGATTAAGGCAGCGACTACCGCCACACTGCTAGGTTTGTTTGTATCATGGCCTGCAAGCCGCCGAAATGAATTACTTCTTTGGGAGTTTGAGCTGTGCTGGTGGCCTGGGTCGCCCACTGATGCCCAGCGTGGGAAAGCTCAGGACAGGGCCCCCTTTCCCTCGCTCACTCAAGTGGGGCTTGGGCTCTCAGGCAAGAGCTTGGGAACGAGGGCCTTCCTGGCACAGAGTGTGGTTTACTCATGAAGATGGCAGTGGAAGGGGTAGACACGCAGCTGCAGTTACTGTGTGAGCCGCTGTATCATATCTATGCCCAGCATTTCTATATTTACGAGTTCCTTCCAAATGCTTTTTAAGCAGATTCGAGAGAATCCATATTTTTCCATCCACGCGCTGGTTGTCATTGTGAACGGGAGGCATTGCTGCACATTTTGCGTTCGCTACATTGTGCTATTGCCTCCAAGCACGGGACAGAAACAGCCATTTCCTCACTTCCAGTTTCATCAAAGCTTGACCAAGGAAGGCTTGGATCGGATGGGTGAATTCTCCCTTCGCATGTGCCAGAGGGGTTGAGGGCTGAGGGCCTCGAAGATTTGAGGCGCTTTGCTCCAAGGTGGAATCGGGCACAGTCGCCTCGGCGCGTCCTGCATGCAGCCCGGAGCATAGAGAGGGGAGACCAGCTCTCGGGACGACTCAGTGGTTTTCTTTCAGAACCAAGCTGGGAGGGTCCCCCATTTCGACCATGGGACGCCTGTATATTTTTTTACCCGACAAATGAGACCCAGGTGACATGGTTGTTGTTGGGAAACATTTTACATTTGGCTTATTGTGGTTTAGTGGGAAATCCCCACTTATCTGCAAAAAAAATAAATTTTGGCTCCCCTTCCAACGTCAACCCAGGTGAAGTCAGAGGCCTTTTCACCTGCCCTAGGTGTTGCTGCCAGATCCGCCGGAGGGTCACTCCGTGGCGGTGCACTTCTTCGACACGGTGCGGGAAGCCGGGCAGCCCAGACCTGCCGGAGGAACGACCCTGACATAAATGGCAGGTATGGGTACGGAAGACAAAAAGAAACAGGACTTAGCTCGGTTTACAATCAGTTTGCCAGTTTCTTCACCACGGTCTGCGGTTGGACGAATTACTCGCACTCTTTTTGGAAGCGAAGCGATCTCATGCGGGAAGCGTCAAAAACTGGATGACTCCGAAGGAAGCCGAAGTCTTCGATCTCAGGTGGGTGCCTGCATACTCACCATGCAGGACTGGGGCTTCCGGGCGTTGGTCTTCGTGGTTCCCAGGCATCCGGTTTCTGAGGGTTTTGTGCTTTTAGTTCGTTGGGTTTCCGTTTAAGCTGGGGATCTGAGGGCCCAGATTTCATCGGTGAGGGGATCAGATGGCCAGTTTGATTGGCGAGAAGGGCAAACTCAGAGGGGTATGCATGCGCGACCTGGCTGGTCGAAAACATAGCTGGTATTCCGCACGATCTTCAATGTCACGACAGATACACCCTTGCGTGTCTCACTTTCAGTTTGATCCCATACGTCGTAAGTTGCAGCGGTCGTGCGGGGGGGTTCTTGGGACTTCGCACGTGGAAGCAGACTGCGATTGACTTGGAATGATGGCCACGGACCGGATAAGAGTTACGGGTGTGATTCAAGCACAAATGCGATTCATCCTTTTGCGCAGCCCTGAGACAATCACACGTCACAGCACTGCGCTTGCTTCCCGCTTGAAGCTGAGAGATGCTGGGAAATACGCACATGGGGCTTGCCAGCTTGATGATGCTGCGGCTGCGGCTGCTGCTTCCGGCTGCTGCTTGCGGCTGCTGCTTGCGGCTGCTGCTGCGGCTGCTGCTGCGGCTGCTGCCGCTGCTGCTGCTCCTGATGATGATGATGATGATGATGATGATGATGATGATGATGATGATGATGATGATGATGATGATGATGATGATGATGACTCTGATGAGGATGATGATGCTGCTGCTGCTGATGATGATGATGATGATGATGGTGATGATGCGGCTGCCTGCAGCAGCGCAGCCGCTGCCGCTGCCGCTGCTGCCGCTGCTGCAGCTGCTGCTGCTGCTGCAGCAGCTGCTGCTGCTGCTGCTGCTGCTGCTGCTCCTCATGATGATGGTGATGATTATCATTGTGATGCTGCCGATGATGCTGGTGATGATGATCATGATGCTGCTGCTGCTGATGATGATGAGGATGATGATAGTGATGCTGTTGCTGATGATGATGTGCCTGCAGCGGTCAAGCAAATTCCTGGAGAGAGAGTGTGTTTCCAATTGGTGGCCACAGGGTGAGGCTCGGTGAGCCCAAAGATCGTTGCCATTTGTTCCCAAACAAAGACCAAGGGTTTCCAGCCGAGGAGGAAACCAACGGCCAGAACGGGAGGCCGCAAGGACGGCTTCCCAGACCCTTTCGGGTGCCATTGGTTGGCTGAGAGACAAAGCGAAGCAGCCTCCCACCGGTTTCTTCCCATATGGCCATGGGCTTTTCAAAATCCAATTCGGTTATCCCCCAGTGAACATCCCAACTTAACCGCGAAAATAGGTTGTAAAATAGGTGGTGAATTCACCTACCCACCAAAATGGGATCCCAAAACGGTTTTGACAACCACAGGCATATCTCGCACCCTGCGGTCCTTGAGACTGTAACTGTCAGCTTGGGCCAAGGCTGCTTTGCGGTGAGCCCGAAGAAGCTGCTTGCTTCTGCTAGGTGGCGCCGTTATGGGACATATTCACAAACTGATGAAGCAACATTGATAGAATGTGACAGCAACTGCTTACGCAGGATTGGTGGGAATGGTGGCCAACCTTCTAACAAGGAATCTGGTCAACTACACCCTGGCCATCCCAGTGCTTGACCAGGGCACATCCGCGAATGCAGCTACATGGCTTCCAGAAAGCATATTTGGATGATCGTAGACGCATGATCTATTGAAGTGGAGAGTGCATGATTGGCTTTCCTGAACACTTCAAGCAATATATATATATATATATGTATGTATATATATATATACATACACATAACATATGCTGAGTTGTTGACAGAGTGAGCATGCATCCGCTTGCATCATTGTTGCTTGAGGCAGCTGTCTAAAGCCTGGCTTTACGAATTCTCGATATCACCGGGCAGGCAGTTCCTCAAAACAGAGGGCAAAGAAGAGCTGCGGCCGGAGACTCGTTGTCCTCGAGAAAACTGTAGGTTTGGGTACACCACGCTGAGGCTCCATTCACTGCAATGCAAACCTATGAAAAATGGTTCACTTGCCAGAACCAACTGCCAACTGTGAGAGAGAGGGAGAGCCGGGGCCGAGGCAGAGCATGTTCGGGCAAGAGGACGGAGCACACAGAACAGTGCCGAAGGCGCTCGAAACTCGAATCTTGTGAGCCAGCATCAAATCCATTCATCAGGCGTGACAAGTGACTCTGGGTCCATAGAGGGTACTGAATCGAGCAAGTCGCAATTGTTCGGCCGACATCGCGTTTCCACATTACCAAGGTGAATCCATTGCAGAGGCTTACTGCTCTTTGGGCCCCTGGGAGCAGCCAGATCGCGTGGTTCAAGTTGGGAGTCAGGAGTTGCCGCCACTACGGTTGCTGGAGGCAAGGGCGCTCCAAAGGAGAGGAGAGCTGTGTGCAGAACTTTTCTCTATGGGAGGCAGCTTTTTCCACCATGAATTGTGTTTGTATGGTGCAGGAGATACTCTCACCAACTACTAGTAAATGGGAATTATCACCAGAGTGTCAGGTCATTGGAGGCACAATGGGTATTGGCCGTCTCTTATATGCTCCAGTTGGGAGTCGCGTCACTTTGCACCATGCAAGCTGAAGGCGGAATTGAAGACAACTTACTTGTTGTGCCAGCCCTGTCCACGCGAGGATTGCACGGCCAATAACATTGACCAGAGAATCCCCCCATGAAATGCTGGAGCTGCCATGCGACTGCTTCACATTTTATTGGCCGATCTCCGTGCAATGAGGCAATGAGCCTTGCCCACGCGAGGTCACAGCAGGTCGAATCGCCAGAGTGTACAGGGAAAGGCGCGGGAGACTTGCTGTCGGTGGTGATCTTGGCCTGTAACTGTACCTACAGCCGCCGTAGGGTTGCGTTGATGTTCGCTGAGCGTGGTCAAGATGCGGTAAACATAATCGTATATAAGGAGTGACAAGCCTGAATGCCAGAGTTGAGTGATGCTTCATCATTTTATGTTGGCTCTCGCAAGAATCATTGCCTTTCCCTTTTTGCTCAAGCATTGACTTGATAGCAAGAGGCACACTGGCCAAGCCCACCATCAGATCATACGTGGTTGATCATGCCTGCATGCTTTGTCACTGCTGTCCAAGTTTGAAACAGCTCAAGCATCAGAACCCATACCGAGCGACGGGCACGACAGGCACAGCACCCTTAGCAAAGCAGAGCAGAAGTGCAGGCACCCTAACGCCCAACGCCATGCTGTAGCGCGTGCCATGGAAGATGCCCATGCCTTAGACCCTTAGACTAGCCAGTTCGGTTCTCATGCCAGAAGTTCGGCCACATGAGGATGGAGTTTGGTTCTCCAACATGAGGCTGAGATGGCCATCGTTGGGGGGGGGGGGGGTGTTGTTTCTGGGTTTGTCATCCACGGCCATTTCCTGCACCAAGGCCTGTGAGGAGTCGACCTGCTTCATCGCTGGGCTGGGCGCTTGGACTCGTCCAAGCTGGCAGGCCCAATGGCGCATTGATAAATTAGACATATATACACGTTTTTGTATACATATACACATATTTGAGCTGTCTCAGGATGGACCCCCTTGTGGTAGTCAACGAAACCAAAGGGAGAGGAACCGTTGTAGGGGACCCGTGTTTTTGAGAAGCATCCATAGGATGGCGCTCTTTTTGAGTGCGTTTTTAGGTGGCCATGGGTCAAATCGTACCCCCGGTGAACATCCCAATCCAACCACTAAAATAGGATGGAAATTGGGAGGCGCACCTACCAACCAAAATGGGACCGTTGGTTTTGACAACCACAGCCAGGTGGGCACAAGTTCAGATCACCCCCCCCCCCTCCGCAGCAAAGTTCGCGGCCCAGGGTTTGGCCGGTGCTCTTCGCATGGTTCGGCTTCACCTTGGTGGGCGCGGGCGCCTGACCCGCGGTTTGAAGAGCCAAGATTTGGCTGTGGGGGTAAAAACCGTTTTGGTATCGATCCAATTTGGTTGGGATTGGTGAATTCACCGCCCAATTTCCATCCTATTTTAGTGGTTGGATTGGGATGTTCACTGGGGGATAACCGATTTGGATTTTGAAAAGCCTGGCCATTTAAGTGTCCAGAGGCTTAAAGCTTGCACCCTGCCCGGAACATGGGACTGTGCCCGGCATGGCAGAACTGGAAGGCATCAGAGCTGAGCGCGAAGGACTTGCACTGATCCAGCACGAATCATTTTGAGAGCTGGTCCGATCAGGATTTCGCCACACTTGAAATTGAAGACAGACGAAGTGAGCTTGATAAATAGCAAGACATCAGAACCACACGGAAAACAGACAGCTGGATGCATTGGGTAGGTGATGCTGGTCATACCAGAAGGCTTTCAAGCCATATGCTCAAGTTCGTGTCTAGATTGCGCCAGATGAGAAGTATATTTTTGCTCTTGCCATTAGCCTCAACTGCACCAAGACCACTTCTTCCACACTAAGCGGCGCATTGGCTGATTCAAAAGGCAAGCAATGCTGATGGCGTAGCTCGCGTCAGGTGGATCTGACACTTGCGATGTGCACAACTTCGAGCTGATGTGCAACTGCCATCGCAAGCTAATGCGTACATGGTCACAGAAAGACTTGCATCGCTGTTTCAGCAACGCATGCAACATGGAGGAATATGGCTGAAGCAACATCTCCACAAACAGGACGAACAGACAGCCGCGCCCTCTCAGTTGATCGGCTGGAGCTCCTTCATGTTCTCTCTAGCATTTTAGCATGTGGCGCTTCCAGAACTTGAAATTAGGCACTCCAAAGCAGGTTTGCCCTTCACCCCTCACCCCTCACCCCTCGCCTTTCCAATCGGCTTCTTTGCCTCTCCTTGCAGGTCTCAGCACCTCCTGCAATGCCTATCGCCACCTGCTGAACTTCACGCGACCAGACTTGCAGCCGCACGTGCCGGAAGCTGAGTGTGAGGCAAAAAAGAAGATGTCGCAATGTCAGCATAGGTTCTTTTCAGGTTTTGTTCGGTTAGACATAGATGATCATAGATGCAGTGGTGGAGATGGGTTTCATTTCTAAGACTACATTGACTGCCCGCAAATCACTACCCCCAGAAGCCAAGGGAATATGAGTTATATAGGGGTCATATAACGGATTATACAAGGGCGCCTCAGTTTGTGTATGTTTGGCTGCTGTGGACATCAAGTGATTCAAGAGCCGAGGCATGTGTTTCAACCAGTCCCAAAACGCGCGGTTTGGGGGTAGTGGATTTGATTGGGCGGTTTGGAGGTGACAAATCACTTGGTATGCTCGTGAAAAAGAATGAACTATACCGCTACCCCGTTGGGGGCGGCTTTTCTCCTGCGCGGGGAGCGCGCAGGAGCTCCAGACCACAAACGTTGACCACTGGAAACCACGTAGATGGATACCGGCTCGAAAAGAGGAGCATGTTGCCTCTTGGCGTGGACACTTAGAAGAATTGTGCTGGAAGGGGCTCACCATTCTGTTCTAGAACTGGAGCCACGCCGGCTACTCCCAGGTCACAAGTCTCTCCCAGGTCACAAGTCTTGTTTGAGTGGGCACAAAATGCCATTCTGAGTGAGTTTTTGGGGATCGTGTTTTGGGGGGTAGTGCCGTTGGTTAGATCATTCCATTTGCCAGGGCCATGATCGCAAAAGGACACCTCTGGATGTCCTATATTTGCTCGATGGGCATGTCATGGTTGTTTTTGAAACATTTTACATTTTTGGCTTATTGTGGTTTAGTGGGAACTCCCCACTTAACTGCTAAAAAATAAATCTTTGCTCCCTTCCAATGTCAACCCAGTGGTGGCTTGAACTGGACTGCAAGGTGAGGCCAGTGGAGTGGTAGATGCATTCCTGAGTCGAGCCATACCTAGTCTGCTGCAGATTCGAGGAAACCATTCAGCACAGGGCTGGCAACAATTCGCGACGCTGAGGCTGCGCATCATCCTGGTTGGCCCCATCTATGCGTTCAGTGCATCGCTGGGACCCTGGCCTTGAGAGGAAACACATTGGGCATGGCTGCGCCTGGCCTCCAACGCTTCCGTCGGTGGCAAGCACTGAAGCTTCAGTTGTTGCACCGAGCTCCAGGCTTTGACTGCCGACAGTTTGCTCTTCAGCACGGCAGGGGCGGTTTTGTGTTTTTGTGAATTTTTGTTGGCTCAAGCCTTCTCAGCTTTTCTTGCTACTACCCCATAGCGAACCTTTCTCTCAAGAAGGATGGCGGCAGAGCCTTCTCTTAGCGCCAAGTGCCTGGCGGAGTTTCTGGGCACTTTCCTGCTGGTCTTCACCGTGGTCTGCAACGTGACCACCGGCAGCTCCACCTTCGCCGGGCTGTCCATCGGCGCGGTGCTCTTCGTGGCCATCCAGGCCGGGGGACTGAGTCGTTTTTTTTGGGCGACGCAATGGGCATGTGAGCCATCAAACCGAACGGGTAGATGAAGCAAGGCGCAGCCATAGTCAAGCCGAACGGGTGGATGAAGGTTAGTAAGGGGCAGCCCCAGCCGGAAATCGCCGCGGCCGCTTTTATATTTATTTATTCCTTACATGGATTTAGACACTTTTACTACCAGGTTTTGATTGTGACTCATGTGTAAACCAGACCCAAAGTCGAATCATCCTCAACCCCTCGGTGCAACACCCCTCTGAAAGCCGTAAGGGACCCCCTTGGCTTGCGCAAAATTGGCTCAAGCCACTGGCTCAGCGAGCAGTTGGCATCTTTTTGCAAGCGCCACCTTGGGGTTGATCAAGCAGTTGTTTGCATGGGGTGACCATTGGGTATCTCGACAGGGATACTCCAGTTAGGCTTGAAGCAAAAGTTCCCGCTTGGCTCAAAACGCTGAAGAGTATCGGAATGGGCGCTGGAAAGCTGCAGAAGGGTGATATGTCTTGGTCCACTGGGCTCTCAGAAACTTCCAGCAGCTATACCGGGCATGGAGATGCAAATAAGAATCAGAAAGACATGTATGTCGGTGACGAGTTCAAACACTTTGAGTTTGAGAAGGAGATCAAGCTTCTCCTTGAGAACAAAGGTATTGTTAACGTTGAAGACTTCAAATCCACGGGAGGATTTCAAGGGTTGCTTTTTGCGACTTCGTGAAGGATATCTATGAGCCTGAAGAGACATGATCTAAATAATTTGAAGCTAATGGTTCTATCTCCAAGCTTTCACCTTTGGAACACGTATTTCGCTTGTAGAGTAAAGATGAGCATTCGGCTGTGTGCGAGCTTGTTCACCGGGCGGGGTCGCATTTGCCCCGGCAATTTACTTGATTGCTGTTTGGTGAAAACTTATGGGGGTTGTTCAATATTCCTGGCCCCCAAATGACCATGGGTGACATTTTCCGTTTAGTGGGAAGTATCGACTCTTAGTGGTTTTTCAACCAATGGTCATCCCAGATTCAAAAAGGAGCTATTGATCAACCCGCTCCCGTAGCCATATTCCTGTTCCCCTCCCATCAATTCACATGGAATCTGACAGGGCGGGCGTGGGGCATAGCCTATGGCTCCATTTTGAGGTGGATGAACATCCATTTGCCGCCTATTTTGATGCTCACCAGGGGTACAGGCTTTTGACCCACCGCCAAATGGCCATGGGTCAAAATCCAAATCGAACCCCCAGTGAACATCAACCAATCCCCACTAGAAAAGGTCCTAAAATGGGTGGTGAATTCACCAATCCCCACCAAAATGGGATCGATCCCAAAACGGTTTTGACCACCACAGCCAAAAGGCCTTCGGCAAGATCTCCGGGGCCAACTTCAACCCTGCGGTGTCCGTGGCACTGGGCTGCATCGAGGCGTGGAAGGGAAGAAATGGCAGTGGTGGTCAAAACCGTTTTGGGATCCCATTTTGGGGTGGGTGAACCACCTATTGTAGTCTATTTTAGTGTGGATTGGCATGTTCACTGGGGGTACGGGATTTTGACCCCTGGCCAAATGAGTTGGTTCAGCTCAGGAATGAGCCAAATTCACTTTGCCCGATGTGTCTCGCTCCCCATCTAAGTAGCCAGCGAGATAGCGGGGAAGCGAATGGGGTTGATGGCTTAAAAGAAGCACTTCGCCCGACTTTTTCTCGCTGGGGCGATGGACAAATCGCATGTAAACCTCTCAAAACGGCCAGCCGGCAGGCTCTGGGTTCCACCGGTCTGACGTGGAACATGGTGGGCATCTACTGCGGCTGCCAGGTGCTGGGCGGCGTTTGCGCCGCCACCTTGGCGCGGCTCATCTGTGGCAAGGCGGCGCCGCTGGCGGTGACCGCGTCCTACAGCCTCATGTCCGCCGGGATGTGCGAGCTGTTCTACACCTTCATGTTGTGCTTCGTGGTGCTCAACGTGGCTGCGGCCAAGAAGAACAAGGAGGAGAATGGGCAGTACTTCGCCCTCGCCATCGGCTTCTGCGTGGTGGCCGGGGCCTATGGTGCTGGATTCATTTCCGGTGGAGCCTTCAATCCTGCGGTGGCCATCTCACTGGACGTCACCAGCTGGGACCATTTCGGGAACTGCCTCTGGTACACACTCTTTGAGCTTGCTGGGGCCCTCTTGGCCGCCTTCCTCTTCAGCAAGGTCCGGCCAACGGACTTTGGCAACCCCAGCTCCAAGCAGGCGGAGGAGCTGCTCAGCGAGTTCCTGGGCACCTTCGTCCTGGTGCTCACCGTGAGCTGCAACGTGCTCGCGGGCAGCGCCGCGGCCGCGCTGAGCATCGCCGCCTCCTTGAGCGCCATGATCTACGCCCTGGGCGACGTGTCCGGCGCGCACTTCAACCCCGCCGTCAGCTGCGCCGTCTACTTCTCCGGCCGCGACGCCGGCTTCACGGGCACCAAGGCCTGCTTCTACGCCACCGCGCAGGTCGTGGGCGGCATCCTGGCGGGGCTCATCGCCATGGGCGTCTTCGGCAGCAGCGCCGCCTTGAGCTTTGGGCCCAAGGCGCCCTTCCACCTGAGCCAGGCCTGAGGTACAAAAGGGTATGGATCAAAATTAAACCACTAGGGTGCCGCCGCAGGTTTTAGTTCATGTTTCCATTTACCAGGGTTCCACTTTGGGTACATATTTTTGACCCACAGCCATATATGTCGCAATGGCCAAAGTCGCCAGTGAAAGATTCGGGGTCTGTTTTGTTGCAAGCCAACTCGAGGCCATGGCCGCAGAGTTCTTCTTCACCTTCAACCTCAGCTTCGTGGTGCTGGCCGTGGCAGTCTCTGCCCTCACCAAGACATCTCACTTCTTCGGCCTGGCCATTGGCTTCTGCGTGGCGCGGCGCGCTTCTAGTGCATTTGTCAACGTCGAGATCCTGGTCCGGCTTCGAATTTAAGGAGCCCCCCCCCCAAAAAAAAAAGGCAGCTCGCAACGCAGGTTGCTTGTAATTCCTGTACGTGTGCTTCATGTCTCTTCACTCAGCCTTCTTTGTGAGGGGAGCGTTGGAGCAAGGACATCGTATTTACCTTAGTTCTGCAAACTTCGGGAGCCCCCCTGAAAATAAGACAATGCAACTCACACCTCATGTGGATTTTCTGATTTCCTGGCATTTAGTTCTATCTCATGCACTTGCAGCCATGGTTTCGGGAGCCCCGAAAAATAAGACAAAGATCCAACTCATAACTCATGTGGATTTTCCGATTTTCCGGTATTCACCCCAGCTGAGGTGGTGGTGGGGGGCTTCGCCTGCGGCAGCGTCTCCGGGGGCGCGCTGAACCCCGCAGTGGCCTTGGGCCTGGCCGTCTCCGGCGGGGGCGTGGCCAACGCCTTGGCCTACGCCGCCGCGCAGCTGCTCGCCGGGGGCGCGGCGGCGGGCATCTTCAAGGTGACACACCAGGCCACCAGCTGGACGTCGATAAAAAGCCGTAGAATCCGCTCATATGCATATGGCTGTGGTTGTCAAACCGTTTTGGGATCCCAGTTTGGTTGGGATTGGTGACGTCACCACCCATCTTAGAACCTATTTAGTGGTTGGATTGGGATGTTCGCTGCGGGTACGGGATTTTGGCCCATGGCCATAAATGTGTATAATATGATATTATATATGATTATATATATATATATATAACAATCGGCACACACACACACACACACCAGGATCCACCTTCTCTTTGCCTCCTTGAATATCAATGAACATATATGTATATACAAATGTATGTGTACATGCATATATTGTATACATATATATATATATATATGTATACTTATCAATGGACATCCACTCAAAGTGGGGAAGCTCCCCACCCAGCCACCCCCATGGCTTCATCGAGCCCAGAAATCCCTTGGTCCGTGGATTTGGACAATGAGTTTTAAGTTGTGCCCCAAATGCGACCTACCCAAGCTTGCCGGTTCTCCGCAAATGAGTGAACCCAACACACTCCATCCCTGGTTTCCTTTGAAGTGATCCATTCCACTCCCAAACCCCTCAAAAGAAGAAAGACACCATCAAACATTCTTTCAATACCTTCAAATGCAAAACTAACCAACCGCAAAACCCGCCCTTCTTTTTTGCGGGTCATTCCAAAAGGGAATTCCGCCCATCATTTTTTCGGTGTCATCCCAGCCCTACGATTCACCGAAGCAAAAGCCGCGCTGTTCAGGCGGAGCTGGAGTCGCCGGAGGCGAAGAGCGTCTCCTCTCCCTGAGGCCCGCGAAAAGGCCTTCGAGGACTCGCGGCAGTTTTGTGCCGGCGGAAAAGAACCACACACCCACACATTTTTGAAGTTTTTATATGTACATTTATTATATATATGCGCGCACACACACACACACTGTTTTTCCTTTTGGATTTTTAAATACATATACGCAAGTATGGTGCGTATGTATATAACACACATGCATGCATGCATTACATTACATTACATTACATTACATTACATTACATTACATTACATTACATTCCACTACATTACATTACATTACATTACATTACATTACATTACATTACATTACATTACATTACATTACATTACATTACATTACATTACATTACATTACATTACATTACATTACATTACATTACATTACATTACATTACATTACATACATTACATACATACATACATACATTACATACATTACATACATTGCATACATTACATACATTACATACAGTACATACATTACATACATTACATACATTACATACATTACATACATTACATACATTACATACATTACATACGTTACATACGTTACATACGTTACATACATACGTACGTACGTACGTACCTGCATGCATGCATGCATGCATGCATGCATGCATGCATGCATGCATGCATGCATGCATGCATGCATACATACATACATACATACATACATACATACATACATACATATAGATGTATATACATGGCGATTTTACATGGACGCATGTTTCTGGATCTGCTAAGTGTTGCATGCTGAAATTCTTGATCTCGGAGGCCAGCATGTTGTCAAGGCTTGCCTGCACTTTCACATAAACGGGGGAGGTTGTGAGCCGTGCTCTGGATGCTCCGTCCTTAGGCTGTGCTTGTCCATGTCCGAGAGCGCTTGCTTCTTTGTTCGGTCTGCCGGACTCTCAGAGCATTGCTTTGTATTCAGCGCCTATGAAGCTCAGAGGGGAGCACGCATTCTGCCCATGTATCGGACTTCTGCCAACAGCTCCTCAATAAGCATTGGTACCCACATGATGAGATAACCAGCTATTTTGGGAAGTCAACCCAAATTGCATCCGGCGTTTGGGGGGGGGCAAGACGGATCAAGCTTTCAAATACTCAGCTCAGCCTGCCATTCGCGTTTGTGCACTACGACAGGTTCGAGATATTTGGGAGGCTGTCGTCATCTACTCCTTCCTAACCCTCGTGTCCTCGGCATGAGTTCAGGTGCAGGCAGTGCTCTGCTCATGTAGATAGGGTGTACAAGAGGTTGCGCTATGTGCGGGGGTTGGTCAATAATCCATTTAGGGCCCCCAGTTTTGACCTTTTTGTAGCTTCTCCCTTGTTGGACTGAAAGGTCAAATCTTTTTTGTTGGTTTCCCTGATTGAAAGCACGGGTGTGTGTGATCAACCTCAAGCCCGCCAGATCATCGAGTACATGGGGGGCGAGCACCTCTGCCTGCACAGCATCTCACAGAACGATGAGGCAGGAGAGACGGAAAGTTGAAAAACCCGGCGGGGTCCAACCCCAGTCCGGGGTCCAGCCTTTGTCTGAGGCAGTGCCGCACCTCTTTCCCTTTAGCCTATGCTCGGGGGCCTCAGTTGGCAGGAGTTGCATTTCTCCGTGAGCGAGTTGCACTTCAAGTGGACATGGGCCAAAATAATCGGAATTTCCAGTCAACACTTCTGCACTGCCGTTCTTTTGGGAAAGAGGCCATCTCGATTCTGTTTGGACATTTTGGCACGTGCACCGAGGCCTGCCCCCCATTGCCACCGGCTCCATGATCCGGGTGCCCAAGATGGGAGCGCTCCAGCTGCCGGGCGGAAATGGTCCGAGTGGGTTGGGGGGAGGGGTTCCCCTAGACCGGAATGCCGACTGGCCACTTTCCCTTGAGATAGAAGCATGACGTTGGGGACACCCCCCTTTGAGGTATGGGTGAACTTGGGCCCTGCGCCATGAGGTGGACTCCGCTGCTTGCCATACAATGTGTATATATACACATACATTTGTCTATATATATATATATATGTATTATATATACACATGTATAAATGATATATATATATATATATACATGTATACATGTGTTTATACACAGACACGATATACATACATATATATATATATATATATACATATATATATATATATAGGCATGACACAATGCCATCCCGCTCCGGTGAATTCAGAGCCCCACTCTCCCAGTTCATACGTCTGGCGGTGATCTCGTGTGGCACGAGGTTTGTGGCCGTGAAGCCCATCGTGGCGGTGATCTCCATCGTCGTCTACGCCTGCGGTCAGCTGCACGCCCGGTGGCCCTGGACGACCGGACTCGGAGTCCGGGAGGGGGTTGATCAAAAGCTCTGCACGAAGAAGGTTTGAGCTTCAACCATGAAATGGGAAAAGCGACCTTTGGTCAAAACTGGGGGCCCAAATGGAATATTGATCAACCCCCCGCTATGGTCCATATCTACGGCTGGCAGGATGACAGTGGGTACCAGACATCCCAAAGCATGTTTTGTAGGTGACATTGGGAACGCCAAATCAGCAAGTGGATGCACTCAAATTCCCATGTCAGTTGGGGCCCACCATGAATATACCTGTACATATATATATATATATATTGACCCTGGCTCGTGTTGTTTTTGGTTGTTGCTGAGAATGGTTCCTGTGCGAGCTGGAGACTGGGACGCGCGAAAGCACACACACACACATGAGTTAGCGCAGCCTCGCCGAGAACTGGTACTACCAGTGGACGCTGTTCGTGATATACAACATCTCGTACAGCGTGGCTTTGTATGTGCAGTCCTCAGCTCCTCAGTGTGCACGGTCAAAGCTTTAATTTTCAAAGATCAGATGTGCACTCAGGAAAGTGCGAAACGGCAGTATTTCAGTATTTGCTGGAGAGGCTTTGTACTTGATCTACTGGTCCTCCCACGAGCAGGAGGCCAGATGCTATCAGATGCGAGAGTGCGAGAGTGCTTGCGTTTTCTAGTTTGTCTGAGCGCAGGCGCTTCAATCGAAGAGGCCACTGTTGAAGTTTGTGAGCCCGGAGCAAAGAGCGATTTGCATTGGGTAGGCGTTCATCTCAGATGGGCCACTGGCACATGCCTTGCAGCATGTCAGGCATGCAGCTGTGACATCGAGTCGTTTGAGTTGTTGAGGTGTGAAGATGATAGTCTTTCTCACGTTCTGGCAGGCGCTTCTGTTGCCAGGGTCTCAGCCTGACTTGGACGCTGCACTGTTATCTCGACGAAATATGCCAGACAGAGGGAGGTTCCTGGGGGACAGATCCACGACATAGACACTCGGTGAAGGTGACATGCAAAGTCCACGGAAAAGCCCTCAATCTGACCGAGCTGTTGTCCTACAGCAGGTGTTCTTTGAATAGGGATACAGCATGCGGGAGGACGGCATTCCTCGTCAAACTCGCCAAACTCGTGCAATGTGGTGGGACACAAAAGCAAAACAGCACGAACACTGGCAAAAAAGGGAGGCATGAACTGCTGCATTGTCGTCGAGTTGGATTCACAGGCTAAACCATTCCTTGTGGCTGCGCTGAGTTGGTGGTGTCAAGGCCCTTGGCACCTTTGCCCGGCAGCTCCAGCAGATGGGAGGAGAGCATTTGGGAGAGGCTATAGGAGCTTACATGGCCCAGAAAAGAGGCCTTCTGTTGGGAAGGGTGAGGCGGCCTGTTGCCACTTGCAACTTGTTGAAAGCTGGGAAAAAGGGATGAGGTGCCACATTTGGTTGAGTGGCCTTTCTTCTGTTACTATCTCCGTCTATCTGCTTTTTGACTTGGACAGGACTTCATCCTTTCGATTGAGATGATCATCTTCGGCGTGCTCATGAACATCGCCTTCACATGGACCGCCGCTCAGTCCGACAGTCCGATGCCGGAAGACTGGATGGACGTTTCAGCTGCGCCACACCAGTTTAGCAAAAGAGGCTTGACACTCATCAGAGCCTTGAACCTAACTAACTCCCGAGATGGCTTGCAGACCAGAAATCACAGCACCCATGCGGGTCTGCGGGTCTGCATGCATGCAAAATGCGAGGCGGGAGTTCAGCACCGCAGCCCCGTGTGCCCCACGACTGGGGCAAGGAGCTGGAGGCTGGGCGAAAGGAGCATGGCTTGTTGCCCACTTCACCGGCAAGTGGCTGTGGGTTTTGGGGTAGGTGCACCACCCATTTTAGAACCTATTTTAGTGGTTGGATTGGGAGGTTCACAGGGGGTACCGACTTTTGACCCATGGAAAAAACTTGGCGAACTGTGACTTCAAGCTGATTGCGGGACTTGCCCTCAACTGGTGGGACTGCTTGCCCTCGAAAATGACGAAAGGCCCTTTGGGTTCTCATCAAAATGGACTGCCGGTAGGTTGCGTGGACCTCATGGATCTGGATGCAAAGCCACCAGGCAGGAGACTCTCACCCGAAATGGGCACAGACTTGAGAGCCAAAAACGACTCCAAACGTGCTACGGGTAGCTGGCTCGAAGGTGAGCGCGGTGAAGCGTGGCTAGTGCTTCCAATTCCAAATCTCGGCTGCCAGTCCCCATGGCGGCAACTGGCCTGACATGCAGCTTGCATGTTGACTCATGCAGGCAATCCGCAAGATGCACAGTCCGGCGCTCCGGAGTGCAAGGAACGGGCTTTCTTTTTCTCCGAGTGAGTTGCGGGCGTGCGTCGAAGCAAGTTGGATCTCCAGATCCGCCGCGTTTCTCGGATCGAGATCGGCCAGGACAGTGAGGGAAGTCCGCCGAGCTCCGAGCTCGCAGGAGCTGTGAAGGTGCATGGATTCCGAGGAAGTTGGTCCCTGTCGCGAAACAGACGGACGAAACATGCGTGAGTGTCCGCAGCGCTTTGCCAATGGTACCTCCCTTTGATTTTCCTTTCAACTTCAGGGGGAAAAAACGGCACAAGCAGACGCAATCTTGTGGTGTGGTAAGACGTGGCGTTGGCATCGGAGAGGACGAAGCAGCCTGGTGCAAAATGCAAAGACTGCCTTTTGCACGCGCCCAAGCAAGCTTCTAGCTCATGTGCTGAGCAAAAGGCACGATCAACGATCAAAAATCATCATCAGGTACTGCAGTGCACGGATGACACTCAACTTACCATGAGGTACGGTAAGCACTTGGGGCCACGATGAATATTTTTCCTCAGCTCATATGAGAAGGCACTACGAATCTGAGAGCTGGCCAAGAGGTGAGTTCAAAACACGTTTCAAGCTTGCAGGGGCAGGCTGCTGCCAGATTTTTCAAAAGAAGGAGTCAAGGTGTAATTGTAGGGTCTCACTGGGCTTGAAGCAAGTCATGGCACGCCTTAGGGGTGGTCTCCCCTTGAGGAGTCCATGGCAAATGCATCTGAGGTCCACGAGACATCATGATGGATGCCTCCAACAACTTTTCGTCCAGATACAAGCAGCATGTCCTCATAGAGACTGCGCGGGTCTCGGCGTGGTGCATTGGTTTCGATTGCCCCCAACCACTGCTCCCATGAACCAAGATGGTGTAGGGGGTCATACTGTGGGTGGACGAAATCTTGCACCGCTTTGAAACCAAGGGAAAGCATGGTTTGTTGGTATTTACAGGGAATCATCATTCCAGGGTTTCTGAACGGTGCGAAATGGATTTCGTCCATCCACAGTACCACAAGTTGAAGCCGGTATCCACCCTGGTTCTTGCCCCAAACCACTGCTCCCATGAAAAAGGAAGAAGCCGGTGTAGGGGTTATGACCCACAACTTGAAGCCAGTGACACGGTTTTTCCCCCCCGAAATGGTCTGGTGGACGCCTGCTGCGAAAGGCCCAGGACTATGAGCTGCAGGAGCCCGAAGGCTGGGGATGGGCGGCACGTAACGAGTCGCGACCAAACACATCGAGTGATGCGTGAAACGCGCGAGGCAGGTGAATGTTGGCCGGAGAAGAAGCAAGCCCAATTTGCAACCGCGCTGCCGGATGGTTTTTTGTTTTTGCAGCTGTCGCAGAAAACGCGACGCTTCTCGCGCGTGTGCCTTGCGCACAGTTTCTCCCAGGGATCAGCGTGGACCTTCTGGAAGCTGCGAGCGAGCCTCGCTCTGCAACGTCGCTTTCAGGCACGTGCTGAGTCAGATTGGTGGCGGTAGGTGAGGTGCTTGATCCAAGATGGGGTTGCCTTTAGAAGCTACGGGGCAATGATGGTGATGCTGATAATGCTGGGAATGTAGGTCTTGCAACGCATTAGCAGGAACAGGATTGCATCTAAAATGTGCATCACTGGCATCTTTGACATCATCAAACAGCCTGAAAAGTCTTTGAAACATGTTCGCAGCAAAGACATCAACCACTTCACTTCATCACGATAGAAATCATTGGCACAGCTGGAACCATCGATCATCGCCACAGCAGCATCGCAATGACAAAGGCAGCGTCTCTGCAGGCGGCACTAGCTTCGTCACGAACTTTGCTTGCAACTAACTGTCATGAGCGGCCTTTGAAGGCAGCATCATTAGCATCATTATCATTGCAGAATCAACGCCATTTACACCTGTGTTCATCACTATGTGCATTGCAATGCGTTCTATCATTGCATTTCCAGTAATGCAAAGGCAAACCAGTGCAAAGCAATGCAAAGCAGCGCACATAGCAATGCAAGCAATGCAAGCAATGCAAGCAATGCAAGCAATGCAAGCAATGCAAGCAATGCAAGCAATGCTAGCAATGCTAGCAATGCTAGCAATGCAAGCAATGCAAGCAATGCGAGCAATGCGAGCAATGCAAGCAATGCAAGCAATGCCAGTAATGCCAGAAATGCAAGCAACGCAAGCAATGCCAGAAATGCAAGCAATGCAAGCAATGCAAGCAATGCGAGTAATGCAAGTAATGCAAGTAAGGCATGCAATGCAAATAATGCAAGCAATGCAAGCAATGCAAGTAATGCGAGTGATGCAAGTAATGCAAGTAATGCAAGGAATGCAAGGAATGCAAGCAATGCAAGGAATGCAAGGAATGCAAGGAATGCCAGGAATGCAAGCAATGCGAGTAATGTGAGTAATGCAAGAAATGCAAGTGATGCAGATAGCACAAGTAGTGCAGGTAACACAAGTACTGCAAGTAATGCAAGCAATGAAGGAATGCAAATAAGTAATGGCAATGCTACTGACGCTGGCAATGCCGTGTGATGCGGTGAGCCTCTTGCAGATGCCGGTGCTGGCGCAGGCAGGCTGATGCAGCTCCGTCCGTCGGCAATGAAGCTGGGCAGGGAGTCCAAGAGTTCCGATTTCAAGGCGAGGCATCACTTGGGCTTGGGTGAGTTCAGACAGTGCCTGTATTTCCCTTGGTTTTCAAGCATCGCCTTTTTTTGCCCCCTTTTTCATGAGCTGTGTATTTCCCTTTTGTTTTTAAACATCGCCTTTCTTTTGGCCCCCTTTAAGACGAGCTTCTTCAGTAAAGGCGGTGTCTTGCAGGGACATTTTGGGAGCTTCCGCGTTGCGCTGAGGTCGCACGCGCAACCGCGAGGGCGAAGAAACCACCGGCGTGCCCAGCGCAGGTCCGGCGCAGGACCTTGGCGAAGGCCCGGTGACCACGTTGCCCTTGAGGCCGCTGAGGCCCTCCCAGTTACCCTCTTTCCAACAATCATGGAAGGAAAATAGTCTTAAGCTCTCCTGTCAACTTCCATGATTGTTGAGGGTAACTTGGAACCTGACATTCGGGAAACGGTCCCTTAAAAAGGAGAAGGGTCCAAACCAGGACCCCCCCCAAACGTCAGGTTCCATGTGAAAAGGGTGGGAGGGTGACCATGAGGCTGCTAAGTGTGAGTGATTGCACGCGTTCCCAGGCGCCTGCGAGGTGCGCGGGTTCGGGAGATTTCAACGAATCTCCATGGAAAGAGAGAGTTGCAAATGGAACATTTCTTGGTGTCTCCTTGCTTTGAGCTGAGAGACTCCCATGAAAGTACCAATTTCAAGGTCGGTGAGAGGGTTCTTGGGAACGGGCTGAGGTTGCCTTGTAGCCTTCTGTTCCCGTGCCGGTTAGGCTTCGCAGCGAAGGCTGCAGCCTCAAAGTTCCTCGGGGCGAGCAGAAGATGGTCGCACGTAGGTTTGTCTGAACACATAGGTTTGTTTGAAACGTCAGGAAGCTTTTCGATGAATCCCGGTACGTGGGAGCCTGGTAGGAATGTGTCAAACTAGGGAAGCATTTGGAGGGGCCCCCTTCCAAGTCTTGGAGTGTCCAGTTTGACAGATCTCGGCTGGGACCTGGGAGCGTGCGCCCAGGGAATGACACCAGGCGCGACGCCTTGACTGAGGCCAGAAACCCAGGCCCCCGGTGCTGGCGTGGCTCGTGGGCCCAGACGTTGCGCTTGCACCCCGCCGTTTTTGTCTTGTTGCGCGCGTCCATCTGGCGGCATAAGGCCGAGGCAAAGCTGGAGTCTGGCCGCAAGGTGGGCGGGACAGGGCGGAGGACGTCACAGTTCTCATGTTGTTTCCTGGGAAGGGACATCTCATGTTGTTTCCTGGGAAGGGACATGATCTCTGGGTGCGTCTCAAAATAGGGGGCCCCCGTTTGGATGGCGCTAAAAAAGGAAGCCCCGAACTGGAGGGGTCCCAATTTTGAGAGATACCCATTCGTTTTGTTTAGAAGCGGGTGTTTTTCTTTTGTTCCCAGAGAGGCCCGAGAGGCTGACCCCGTCGCAATGCCAGGAGGGGGAGCTGTAGCAGCGGCCGGTTTCACTATGCGGGCGCCTGGGGCAGATGGATATTAGGATATCCGAAGGAGACAAGAGGGACCTTGTCACCTCGTTGGAAATTAACATTTTTGGAGAACGCACAGTTCTGAGGTTTCACCTTGTGAGAGGTATGTTTGGATGTTTGGCTCCCAAGCTTCAAACGGGACACCGGCTCCATGCAAGAGTGCCAAGACTGCATGTGTCAGAGTCGCATCAGGATGTTGGACGCCTTCAGAAATTGGAAGTTTGACTCGGAGTGCGTTTGAAATGGACGCAGAGGGGACCAGGGTTCACCACATGTGCTCTCCAATATTTTTCTGACGCAGAGTGGGACAGCAAAATGGTTCTCATGCCTCCGAAAATTGCAACGCAAGAGACATTTTGCTGTTCCTTCTTCCTGTCTCACCGCTGCTTGCCGCAATGTCGGCTAGCGCGCGTAGATTTGCAAACGCTGACTGGGGTGTTCAATCAAATCACATACAATTGTCGTGCCTTCCGATCAAGGTTTGATATTTCCTTAGGCCACTTGAGGGCTCGCCTCAATTCAAAGCGTTCGAGAGAACTTTGGAGACCCAGGTCTGTTGCTAGGCCTTGCTGGGACCAGGTGCCAGCATGGTGCCTGAGCCAGTCACCCGAATAGCTCAACAGGAATCTGGCAGAATGCGGCTGGTTGCTCTTATTGACGATTCGCTCACTGAGTAGCGTGCAGTAGATGTTGGTTTGATGCAAACCGGGACACATACATTGCATTCGCAGGCCCTCTGGCAGCGGCAAGCTCAGAGCAAAGCTTCGTGTCAGGGAACTTGACTCCGCCCATGGGCTGGACATGCTGTTCTCTCTGACGGCCATGCTGAGGTCAAGACGACTGCCCCTGGCCAGTGCAAGCCCGAGCTTGAAGTTGCGGACCGTGGTCGATGAATGTCTGCAGGAGACAGGTATCAACTGCTTTGCAAAGGAGTACATGTCTACTTCTCTCTCTCTCTCTCTCTCTGTAGTTGTCTATCTATCTACCTGTCTACCTGTCTATCTGTCTGTCTGTCTCTCTGTCTGTCCGTCCATCCATCCAGCGCTGCGGATGGGTGGCTTAGTGCTATCCCACTGTCCCTTCGAGGTGAGGCTGGACGACCCGGGCCTCTCCCCGAGCTTTCTCTACTGTGGACTTAGGGTGACAGCCTCAGACCGGCTGCAGCTGGCAGGCAGCTGGCGACTCAAGTGAGTCGAATGCTTGCGACGAGGTTGAGCCAGACGTTTCAGATGGCAAGGCGTGAGCGAAGCTTCCCGCATTGATTTGAGAAGAGCAAAGCGCAAAGCCAGGCGTCCAGTCAGCTGGTGGAGGCCTAGAAAGGGGCGCTGAAGTAGTGAGAAGCGTCGCGCGGTTTGGTGAGTGACAGGTGTTCCACATGGACCCCAATCAGATGATTGGCTGCTTTGGCCATCCGTGCCGATCCCAGTCCTGGCTTGATCCAGTCGTGTACGTTAGTGATTTTTGTTCGGGACAGATGGCCATACCAGTTGCATGACACACGTCAGAGTACGCTGCAGATGAACATGAAACTTGTCTTTTGGTACCTGCAGAACATGTTACCCTGCACATGGATTTTCAGAGAGACGGGATGACAGCTTCTCAAACCGCACATGGAGCTTGAGACGTCGTCGTGCCATTTCTTATGAACATGTGTTTCTGCTGGGTTCGTCCAACGAACATCGAGCAGAGATTGCACGGCTGAGGTTCTTGCTAGCCATGGGGACCGCCCAGGGCAAAGAGATCATGGCTGCGCTGCAGGAGTGCTGAGCTTGCCATTTGCACCTCGTGCCACGTTCCCAAAACAAAAATCAAGAGAAGTGGTGTGAGGACAGGTTTCGATTGGAATGCTTCGCTTATCGCGTACGAGAATGTACCATCCCGATAAACTGGTCGAGAGGCAAGACATAATGAGCGCACGGTGCCGATACCGCCCAGGACAAATTGCGCTGCTCTTCCAAAGATTTCCGCCAACATGGGCAGCGGAACACAGGGGAGTGGGCTGGGCAGAGACATCATCATCATCATCATCATCATCATCATCATCATCATCATCATCATCATCATCATCATCATCATCATCATCCGCATGGTCGAAAGAATCCGGAAGATTGCTAAATTTTCGCGCAAGTCGCGCGCAAGTCGCGCGCAAGTCGCGCGCAAGTAGATTGCCTTGGATCAGGAGTGGCCCATTTCTGTAGTTTGCATTTTCTTTGTTTCTGCAGATCCCAGCAATGAGTTGCAGCAGCAGCCAGCAGCAGCAGCAGCAGCCAGCAGCAGCAGCCGCAGCAGCAGCAGCCAGCAGCAGCCGCAGCAGCCAGCAGCAGCAGCAGCAGCAGCAGCAGCAGCAGCAGCAGCAGCAGCAGCAGCAGCAGCAGCAGCAGCAGCAGCAGCAGCAGCAGCAGCAGCAGCAGCAGCAGCAGCAGCCGCAGCAGCAGCCAGCAGCAGCCAGCAGCAGCAGCAGCAGCAGCAGCAGCAGCAGCCAGCAACAATTTGCAGCGGTGTACACACCTGAGACCTCATACACTTAAGGGGCATGTTTTTGGGGGACCTCACTCTTATGAAGACCGCCGCTTGGATTTGCAATGAAAACATCCTGGGATAAGAGTTTTAATACGTTTTTTTTTTTTTTTTTCCAGCTCACATGGCAGTTCCAAGGTGTTTTTGCAAGCGGCTTGCAGTGTTTGGCCAAATGGGCATTTGCTGCAAGGACCACAGGCTGAAAGGTGAACGTGGGTCCCCGTTCAAACAGGCTTCCCTATATTTCCCCTGCTGGTTTTAAGTGAGTTTGGGTGATTGAAGGCGAAGCATAGGGAAGTTTGTCTGTCAAGCCGCCTGCACGGTTTTGAGACAAAAAGATGTTAGGCTTCGGTGCATGTCTCGTGAGGTGCCGCGTCCTGATGGGCAAAGGTGACGCGCCTGCCAGCGACGTGTCCAGGCTTGTGGCTTGACGTTGCCCAGAGCCAACCAAAAGTGGTTGGCTTCCTTTTGGTGTCCTCTCAAAAAGGATCAGGCAGAACGGTTTCCCAATGGCACACACCCAGATCTTGCAACGTCTGCGCTATTGGATTGCAGGCTGTGGTTTGATCTGCCAGAGGAGGTTACCTTCCACTGCCACGTGCAGTGACCTCAGCTTGATTTAAGCAACTGCCAGCGGAGCTTTTAGTCTGTAAGAATGGCGGTGGGCACAACCTACTGAGGACAGAAAGCCAACTCTTTGACGATGAGAGGCAAGATGATGGGTTCGTACAGAGCGGTTTAGGGTTCTCCAGTCTGTGCAGGTTTGCCTTTTGTACTATTTGTTGCGAGAATTCCCGGCAAAAGTCATTGAAGCGACTTTTACAGGAATGCTGCAGGAGAGGGAAGGTTTGCAAACAACTAGCATTTTTTCTTTGCGAAGAGCAAGAAGAAAGGGAACGGGTCTTTGAGGATGGCGGTATTCCGTGAGTTGTGAACCGTATTTGGCAGGATGCTCTTGAGAAGACAAGACCGCGGGGCCTTTCCATGGCAATGCTCCGAACAAACCGAAAAACGCTTCTGGCAGGAGTCCAGGTGACTGGTGCCAGGATGGTACGGCAATCTGCATCGAGAGGACTGGGATGGAGGGTTCAAGTAAGGGGTCCCGTTTTTGGGGTCCCGTTTTTGGTTGGTTTGCTGGCTCGAGAGGCAGGGAATGAGTTGGAACCCCCGTAAACCATCCAACTTGTGGTTTCCTGAAAGGACAGTTCCCTTCCGGCTCCTTCCGAAGAGCCGGAAGGTCATTCCCTACGGACCGGCAAGTTGGTTCCTTTCAGCTTCTTCTGCGCCCAAGGGGTTCCCGCAACACGACGAAGCCAGCTTCCAGTGTGGATCGCAGCATCGAAGGGGCAGGTGGTGTGTCGGAGATTGGCTCAAGCAGGGATCACCCCCAGGCCTCGCAACGCTTCATGGGAACTCGACTTCGAGAACAATTGCCCCGCAAGGGTCGCGCCGTGCTGGTGAATCATGGATCTTTCAATCCGGTGCACCACGGGCACATTCGTATGATGGAGAAGGCGAAAAGGAGGTGGGTATGGGTCAAAATTATACCATCAGGGGACCGCAGGATTTTGTCCTTGTTTCCTTTTCCAGGGTTCCGCTTTGGGGTTACCCTATTTTTGACAACCACACCCAGGTTGGAAGCTGAGGGGTATGAGGTCATCGCCGGCGTGATGGGCATTACCTGGCAGGGCTGGATCCATGGCAAAGGCGCCTCTGCCTTGGACGACAAGGTGCGTGTAGAGCTCATCGACCAGCTGGCCCATGAGGCCGGGAATGACTGGCTCTACGGTGAGTTGGGAGGCAATCAGTTCAACAGCTACTCCGCCATGACCAAGGGCCTCCTTGTGCCCCGCTACCCCAAAGCCACCTTCTTCGGCGTCTTCGGGGGCGACTTTGCGCGCGGGCGCTTCAGAAGGGGGCCCTGCGTGTGCGTGGGTCGCAAGGGCGCGGAGCTGCCGGAGGAGGATGCGGCGGATCACTTCGCCGAGGAGATGGACGAAGACGTGGGGGACTTCAGCTCCACCCGGGTCCGCGAGGCCTTGCTGCGCCAGGACGCGCCGGAGCTGATCCGCCTCGTAGGCGCCACGGCGGCTGAGACGCTGCAGGCGCTTCCCGCGGAGGCGTGGCGATCTCCGATGGCCGAGTGGGAGGAAGACGTGTCATGGAAGGCTTCTCAGCCACAGAGGCGGCGCAGATGGGGATGAAGTTCGTTGGAAGCAACCCGACTCAGCCCTGTACAGTTGTACGGTCTCTTGATTTCATTCCATAGATCTGCCCAGCCACATGTGTACAGGCAATCTTGGGTTGCAGATCGAGGTTTCTGGAGAGGTCCCCGCTTGAAGGCAGGTGCCTCAAAATGACTCCTGGATATGCAAATTAGGCGCAGTAACTGCAGAACCTCCAAGAATCTAAGATGCCAAAGAGCCAAAGTAAGATGAAGGAACCAATAAGCTGACTTGCCGCGCAATCCCAATCAACTAAGCTTGAAAGGCCAAGTAACCCGAGCAGCGCGAGTAGCCTATGGCATCCTGACGTGCCTAGTTAGCCTAGCTCCGCAAGCTATGTTTGTGTTTTTGTGACCCATGCAAGCTGAAGAATCTAAGCCTTTCCAAACCCGAGCTTCTCAAGCATTTTCGGAAAAAGAAGGGTTCGGATGTAGCCAGTCTTCGGCACTTTATGTTTTCTTTTTGATCTACTAGGAGGAAAGCATGCGTGAACACCAACACAGCAGGGTTTGAATCTTGGCTTGATAGCGTTTGTTCCCATTTGCACGAGAGGACTTTCTTTGTTCTGCCTGCCTAGCTGCCCTTCCTGGACGGAATCCACTGCCTGGCTCCATGTTTGTCAGGATCCACCCGGCTTACCAGGGAAGGCCGAACCTGCAGCGTCAGGGCAATAAGCCCCTGACCATCAAGGCAGGAACGAGGGATCCTTGTGTTGCCTTGTATTGACTGAGAAGGCTCAAGTGTTCCAAGGTGATGTTCCGAGCTAATTGTTGCTTGTGGAAAGGGTGTATTCATCGCACCCGCCGTCGACATCAAAGTACTTGGCTGCTTCTGTTTCTATTATACTCACCACACAGTTCGGCAAGCAAACTGCCAAGTTTGAAGGCATTTCTTCCGGATCTGTCTTTGGGTTAGGCTGTTTGCCTGCTTGCATCCTCACGGCAAGGCAGCTTGAGCTCTTTCCTCTGGCACCAGGCAGGAGGCCGGGCAAGCGAGATGCGTCAGAGGAGCCATTTGGGTTTCTGGCCTTCAGGCAAGAGGCTGAGCCCGGTGATCCCGCGCGCCGTGTGGGCGGGCGCAAAGGCCGCCGCGTCCGAGGAATAGCCAGGCCAAGTGGAGGTTCGTGGACGAGAGACGTCAGTGGATCGGCGAATGAAAAACCATTGTCTCATTCCTCGGCTCGCCGCGACTTGCCTCGAGCAAGGAATTGCTGCTTGCCCAATCCTGTCCAATTGGCAGGATTGCATAGTGAAGGGGAGCTCTGTGCTAACGAGCCGTCATTAGCACTACCGCCAGCGTGGCTTCATTTGGGGTAGTGCACTGGTGTTTTCTGCGACTGGCAAGCTCAAGCTTTTGAGCTGCCAGAAGCCGCCGAGTCGTGTTGACCCATGCTAGCGTTGGACCTTAAATGTTCCGGAGAGCGGAGTTTCCAATTGCGGCACGGATATGGGAACCGGCCACACTGACTTAGATTGAAGTCTTGACCCGAAAAAGATGGTATGCCCCACTAAATGGGAAAAGTTACCCGTGGTCATTTGGGGGCCAGGAATATTGATCAACTCCTATTTGCAAGCAACGGCTTCTTTGGATGAAGTGCTTGCTCAAAGTTCATGGACGGTTTCTGGACGCCTCAACCCCACCCGCACACCCAGATACGAACGTGACAGGGGCAGTTGAGCAAAAGCCGCTGTTCTCCCCCACAGAAAGGTCATCTATCCCTAAACACAAATCCCCCCCACCATAGATGGTTTCCTTTAGTTTCTCTTCAAAATCAGGCCCGAAAGGGTACCAAGCCTTAAGAACAAGACACCCGATTGACTGACCCATTCTGCGATTCTGTGCGCATGCCGACTCGCAACGCTCACCTCTTGGCTGCAGCCAAATTCGCAGACTCACTACGGCTCTTGCACTTCCATGCTGCATGCGCCTTGCAAACCGGGGTTGTTACTCTTTTGCAGTGCTAGACATCGAGAAATGCAGAAGATCCCTCACGCAGCGTATAGAACACCGACTTTCTGAGAACATAAAGCATCACTGAAGGGTTTCTGGCTGTGCGCCGGGGCCCTGGACTGCGTAGCTGCTTGTGAGTGTCACTTGCGTTGGTCGGAGGGACGTGCCACTTCCGGGGCTTTGGTGAGATTGAACTAGCTTGCACCGACATATTCTTCAAGAGGGTGAAATCCTGACTCTCTTTTCGGGGAGGTCTGAAAATGGGTGAAATTCTGGCTCATTTTCTTCGGGTCCGAATCACTCCGAGCTACTTCGCGAGGCCAAGTGCATGTTTTGCTGTCGGTCCAGCGCTCCCACAGAGCCGGAGGCAGGATTTGATGAAAGAAAACAAAAACAACTCCGGTCCATTTGGGAGGGAAGAGAAGGAAGAAGCAGCTGTAAGTTTCCCACACAAATCAGAGGACTCACAATTTTTCTCATGTGCTGGGGGCGACTCACGATCATTTTGAGCCACCTTCTGTGGCTTCTGTCCCCAGCCTTGCGAGGTCATGGCGTCTGCTTTGAGCTGAGATATTTCTACCTGTCTTCATACCTGTCTTCATTTGAGCCACAACCAAAACCCGGGTAGATGAAGGTTAGTAAGATATAATCCCAACCATAAATAGCTGCGGATATCCGGCTTCTTAATTCTTAGTAGACCATGTTAATACCGAGTTTTGATTATGACTCATTTGCACCTGCCTGTCTTTCCACTCCAAGAGAGTCAGTGAATTGAGGTATGCAAGCCACTCGACTCGCTGTCTGAGGTTTCCTGGGGCGAGTGGATGGGCGCCTGGAAGGCTTGTGCTGGCAAGACTCGTAGCTTTGCATCAGGCGAGCAAGGCCCACGAAGGATTCGCTGTCAGCACGTAGTTTTGCCTTCCGTTGCAGGCTGAAGCTGGTCAGATTGCCGGGCACACAGAGATGAACCATGAAAAGGCGAATGTCGAGTGGCCCTGCCAATGGATCTGCAAGAAGCTCGTGCTTGACACTTGCGGCCTCTTTTGGTGCAGATCTCGAGCCAAGTCCGCCGCTTGAACTGCAGGATGTGGAGCAGGACCGGCTCAGCCGAGCGCAGGCCATGCAGCCTTTGCGTTTCTCGGGCGAGAGACGCGCGGAAGGCAGCCTTCGGCGGAGAGACGATGGCGCGGATGAAGGCGCCAGTGCCACTCCGCTTCACTTGAAGTTGCCTCAGTTGCTTTCCGGACGAGTTGCAAGCTGTTGCCTGAGGGTCGCGCTCCAATTTTGGCTGGAAGCAAGCAAGATCCTGCAATGAAGATCCTGCAATGAAGATCCTGCAGTTCATTGAGCGTGCTTCACCAAGTGCGCCTCCAGGATATCAACGTGATGATTCTGGGCTGCCGCGGCGTCGGAGCAGGGCCCCCACTCTGACGCCGAGTCTGTTGCGCCGCGCTGGTTTTTCTTTGGGATTGATCCATGCCGCAGCCACCACGTGCGGGTTGGAGGGTGTGAGGGTGTGAGGGTGTGGAGATTCCCAACCAGGTGGACAGTTCGTGGAGCAAGGTGGCTTGCATGCCTTGTTTTCCACTCAGGTCGAAACGGCTAAGAATCTCATTTTGAGCAACGCTGGTGGCTCAGGGTACGTCAGGAGGAGGGCGCAGCGCAAGCGGTGAACTGGTGCGGTCTGTCCCACCCGTGAGGTTGGCAGCGTGACCATTTGGGACCCGACGCCGGCGGCGAACGAGGAGAAGCCGTGAGCCCTTGTCACTTGCCCAAATTGCTTGAGATCTGCCCCGCGGCCTTTGCATCCTGGCTCGAAAATCGGGCGAGCTGGATTCGATTGAATCTTTCCTGTGCAGGACAGGGGTTGCAACTTCTACCTCACGGAGGGCAGCGCAGGCTGGCCCCTCACGGAAACCTCAGAATGAGAAACAAAGATCGGCTGACCGAAATTATCTCGCAGCTCTAGGCAAGCCGCGGGCTGCCGAATGCCTCGCGCAGCTGAAATCGCAACTTGGCAAAGGGGCAAAACACGATGTCTCAGGTTGAGATGCAACACTTCATCCAGAACAAATCCCAGCAAAACAGCGATGTTTGAGAGAGATGCAACACTTCATCCGGAGAAAAACAGAAAAGCAAAAAAGTAAAAAACAACAACAACAACTCAAAGAAACGAACAGCAAGAAGGCGCAGCTTTCCGCGGCTTTCCGAGCTGGTCCTGCGCCCCCCCGAGCGAAGCGCGAGGCTGAACCCGTACTGCAAGGTGGAGGCGCTCGAGGCCGCGGAGGCCCGGATCTTTGGTCTGGATGGGGGCGTCCTTCAGGGGTCCCTGTATTTCCCTTCGTGGTTTTAAACATCACCTTTTTGGCCCATGAAAGGTGAGTGTCCCTTGGTGGGGGTGATGTTTTTAGGGGAAATACAGGGAGCCCTGGTTTTGGTGGATTTGGTCGAAATAGAAACTGGCGATCCCTGGTTTTCCTGGCGGTTCAATCAACCAGGGCCATTTTGTTTTCCCCAAGAAAGGACACCTATGTATGGAACTCTTTTTTGGAGCAGCGAGACTTCGAAGCGTCGCAATGGCACTTTTTGCAGGCTGACCTGCCTGGGTTGCTCGCAGAGGCGGGCGACGAAGTTGCGTCGGAGTTTTAAGATCTGGCGATGGGACCGATGGCCCTTTCCAGGCAAATGTCCTCAGCACTGGCGGCTGCCTCAGTTTGCATTCGCGTGGAGTTCTTCGAGGCGAGAATTGAACTGCTCCCTGTTCAGTTTGAGACAGCGAGGGCAGAAGCTGCAACGGATTTTGCGGCCCCGAGAAGCAACATGTCAAGTGGGGGATAAACACACACACACACATCGTGCGAGCTTGCATTGCCATTTGGCTCAAGCCAAGTTGAGAGCAGAGCTCAGAGCCTGAGCCTGCCATGAGCCATGGCAAGCTGGACAGATGACCAAGTTGCGCAAGCCAGAGGCCGCATTGAGACCCCCAAAGGTGTGCTAAAAAAGTTAGGGCCTCTGCAAAGCATGGTCTTGGACATAAGCGGATTTGTCCGGCCGCAGCTGGATGCTCATCTACCAAAAGTGGATGGACGAAATCCTACACCACTTTGGAGCCATCGGAAACCATTGTTTGTTGGTATTTACAGGGGAATCATCATTCCAGGGTCTCGGAACGGTGGTGCGAAATGGATTTCGCAACCATCTGCAGTATTAGTTGCTTTTCCAGGCGTGGTTCAGGAGCAGCTGAGGGAGAAGAGCGCCCTGGAGGCGGGAAGCGACGCCCTGCGCCCCCTTCCGCCCGATCCTGGCGCGCGACCCGCGCGCGATGCGATGCGCAGGTCTTGGAGCTCGCCGCCCGGCTGGCGCTACGGGGCAGCGCGGAGTCCTGGCTTTGCGTGGTGGACCAGGCGGAAGGGGGCTGAAGAGAGCCGCGGTGAAGGAAGAGACTCGAACCAAGAACCTCGTACTGGATGTCTGCTGCAAAACTGATTGATAGATTTCCTTAGGCTCAGCTTCTTGAGAAGAGATGGGTACGGCACATGAAGTCCTCGGGCCATTGCTTCCTGGGAAAGCATCGAATTGGGTCAGTGGTCCACAAGCTGTGTCATCTCTTGCGTCGCCTTTGATCCAATTTTCAGGAAGCACTGTAATGGCGGTTTGGGTTGGCGGTATCGTTCCAGCATTCACCTGCGAAAGCTTTTGGCTGAGACTTGGGGGAAGCTCCCCAGCTTTGCCACGATGGGTTTGAGCGCCTTGAGCGCCTTGCGCCTCGCGCCCCCATTCTCACGCCTTGCGTCTTGCGCGCGTGAGTCTGAGAGGTGGTAGCGCGCCTGGAGCCCTTCCCGATCAAGGAGTGGCCGGTGCTGCTGCAGCTGTTGATGGCCGCGGAGAACGTGGAGGTCCAGGAGCCACGTGGTGCTAGGGGCGGGGGTGGGAGGGGGGTGGCGGGAGGGTGAAGGAGTTTGGAAGAACTTTATGATTTGTCCTGTATTTTGGATGTTCAGCTGACTCCAAGCAAATCCATCATTCCAGGATACAGTTTCATTGGTTGAGGACTGGTGTCTTGCAGCTTCACTCCACAGCCATAGTCAGAGACAGTAGAGCTTGACTTGCATATCGCATTTCCAGGCACAGTGGTCATTTCAATCACCTTTCTGAAATGCATACTATGGGGTGTTGTCAAACATGGGTGGCGCCCGCCTTGCAAAGGGGGGCATATTTTTGAACGGCCACCCATATCTTCTGACTAGTTCCTGCTGAAAACCGGTGCTTTTCGCTGGCCCCTGGCTTAGGAGGCCGACTTTTTCGTGCACTGCGCGGGGAGTTTGGAAGCCAGAGCCAAGACAGAGAAGCTCGGCCGCAGGCGGGCGGATGGGGGTGCCAATTGGAGAGAGAACAAATGGCTGTGGTGGTCAAAACCGTTTTGGGATCCCATTTTGGGGTAGGTGAATTCACCTCCCATTTTAGAACCTAGTGGGGATTGGGATGTTCACTGGGGGTACGGGTCAAAGCCCATGGCCAAATGGCAAAGCCTTTGCATTCTAAGGGCCAACGAACATACCCCAAATGGACCTGCCCCACCTATTGTGGTGTGCAAGTTGGCCCTTAGATCCACGCCAATTCTGTCTCTGACCCAAACAGTGCAGTAGCCAGACATCGCAGGGCAGACTTTGCGAAGCAGCTCGCCTGCTTCGCGGACCTCTTGCGGCTGCGGGGTGTGTGGCTAGGAGTGCCTTGTCGAGCTGTGACAAGAGGTGCGTTGCGCGTCAGACCTGAAGATGCGAGAACACAGAACCCCGGCAATTTCCGTTTGCCAACAGCATAGATCGTCAAGCGCGGGTCCCGTGTCTCCTGTGATGGAGCAGGCAGAAACAAATGACATGCTGTACTGGTTGAGAGGGACGCTACAAAGAAAACTACCAGTTTTGGGATGCCCCTACTTTGAACCAAACCCTACTGGTTGCCAAGGCTGTCAGCGGGATGATTGACACGATCGAGGATGGGCTTGAAAAGCATTTTGTGTGACCAAGGGTACTTTTTCCATTTAGTGGTGAAACTCATTTTTTGTGTGTGGCTTTCCCAATGGTCACCCCATGTAAAGGACCTTTTGATCAACCCCGATTTGATCGATATTGCCACCATCGCATGAGGATTCCTTTCAAAGGACGTCCCCGCCAAACGGAGTTTCGACCATAGCATCGTCGTTTGTTCAAAGGGAAGCGGCCGAAGCCTTGCTTATGACTCACACGTTGACTCTGCGCTTCTCACCCTTTCCAAACTTGGTTTGATTTTGGCCAGGAGCTCGGGGAGTGCCACTCGGCAGCCAGACACATCTGCGTTTGGGCGCTACGCTTCCCACTTCCCCCCGTTTTTTTCTTCGCAAACGAGCTTCGGCTTGTATCAAAATCGTTCAGATGGCGCGATGTGCAAGGCCCCCTTACAAAGGCAGAGATTCGCGTGATGCGAATCTCCACAATTCAGAAGCCGGCAAATCGTTCCTTGCCAAGGCCAGTTGGAGCCCCAGACATGTTGGCGATCCAATCGCGAGCCCCAGGGCCCCAAGCAACGTACCATTGTGCGTCATGTTCACATTCATGTTTGAAGGGCGATGTTGTGGGCTTCTTTAAGGGCACCCTTGTGGGGGTTGCTTTCAAGAGAAACCAAAGGGGCCACAATTTTTGGATTGTTGGAGACACCTATATGCAAGGCATCACCCGCAGCGTGTCCTCGGACCTCTCCAAAGCAGAAGCTACCGAGAACCCGGGGAAGCTTGGCGAGGATGAGTGTGGCGTGTCAGGATCAAGGGGCCGTTTCGCCTAAAGCTCGACACATTCTCTTTGTGAGGCACGAAGACTGCCGCATATGTTTGTTCTTCTGAGGACCATCATGGATGAGTCCAACTTCAACATTGAGGAGCCAAAAGACAATCACAAATGCTGAGCATATTTTATCGTTATAAAGCAGTCCTACAATTACACGCAAACATGCGACTGAGAAGAACGAACACGTGCTTGTAAGCAACGTGTGGAGCGCAACACCTGCGCAATGTCTGTTGATGGGTCCGGATCTTGTCATGTTTTTTGCACTGCAGTGAGCTTTGGCTCAAACCCGGTGCAGCGAACCCCCCTGCAAAGCACCATCTATTTTCCACTTGGCGTCTTGACTGCACGAATTCACGCTGGTGCTTGCAGATCGTGTGGTGGATATATGGAACCTGATTGCATCCAAGGACCCGAACCTCCATCATCTATGACATCCACGATGCGATTGCTCTGGTGTGTTGTTTCGCCCCATGGCACAACAAGCACTAAAGGGAAGCCATCATGAATCCTCCCATTTTCTTTGCGGTTTTCTGGTGAACGATTTTTGCACTTTCACTTTTTGGTTGAAACGGATTTTCAGTATCGGACCCACACAAAGTGATTCACTTTTTGAGGGGTCAACGGTAACCAAGTCTTGCGTGTGTCTTTTTGTGGGGTGCCCTGTTTTTGGTTTGTTTTTACAGGGAATTCAAGAGGACGCCACCCACCTTGAGGGTTCCCGTTTGAGATACCCCCCAAGGCTGTCTGAGCCGACTCGCTAGGCTTTGCGCGGCACAAGGCCCGCCCTGGCTCAGTGAGGATGGCCGGGCGGCCCAGAGAAAAGATGGATGGGAGCGATGTGAGGCAGTCCGTTTGGCTCGGAGAGACAGCTTGAAGTGTCAGGTTGGAACAACTTGACCTAGTGGGAGGGGCTCAATCATGGCGAAAGCAGCACAAGCAGCCCATGCGCGGGAATGTGGCTTCGTCCATGCAAACCGGCATTGTCTCAGCACAGAGGCAATCCACGGGAAAAGGCCGGTACCAAAATGGACCCCTGGTAAGTGGAAACATGGACCAAAACCTGCGTATCCCCTCCTGGTTAATTCTGAGCCACACCAAGATCTTTCCGAGGTGCCACACCATACCTGTTGCAGACCGCCTCTTCTGCGATCAAAGCGAGCGAGGCTTCGGCTTGAAAGCGCTCGGCTGTCTGTTGGTGTAGCTCCCCGAGTTTGGGGACCCAAGTTTTCACGCACAACCATGTAGCTGTGGTTGTGAAAAAAATAGTTGGTAACCCCAAAATGGAGCCCTGGCAGATGGAAACATGGACCAAAACTTGCGGTCCCCTGGTGGCTAACTTGACCCATACCCTTCATACGCGTGGGTCAATTTTCGTTTTTTGCCTCGAGCCCGGGTCAGCCGCCCTTTTTTTTTCTTCTTCTTCTTCTTCTTCTTCTTCTTCTGGCGCCCGCCAGGCTTTGGACATTCATCTGGGGCCAGCCACAACTTCCAGCACCACCACCGCCTGGAATTCGGGCGGCGGCATTGTCCCTGGGAGATGAATGAGGGTTCGTTTCCCTGGCCTGGAGTATTCGTGTGGACCGCTGGTGTTCGACAAACATGAGCAACCTGGGGCTGTTCCAAAAATGTCAATGAATCATAGACTGCCAGTTTGGTGTAGCTCATGAGAATACTGCACAAGGCACATTCCAACCTCATATCCGCTCGTGAGATCACTCCGTGCACGAGGTTGGCATCAAGATGAACGGCAAGGGCGACTTCTCGGCATTTTGGGCGGGCCTGGCAACCAACATTGCCATGACCGTTGGCCGGGGCCTCAGTTCCGACGGGAGACGAATAGGCAATCTCACCGAGCAAAGATTCTGCCTAGTGTATAGCGAGCTCACTTTTGGGGGTACAACACCGTGACAAAGGTCCTTTGCTTTGCTTGGGGATCCCTCAATTCAGCTTTTCGAATTATAGTACATTTGCAGAAAGTTAGGTTTTTGGGTACATTTCGAGAGGTCCGTGTCACCGTCTGTTTTTGGGGTGGACTGCCAGCTCAGTAGCGCTGGGAGAAGCTCATGTGCGCGCGGCCCCCCCCCGGAATGGACCCTCCGCCTTGTCTTGGTGGCAAATGGGTCAAAACCCAAATCGTACCCCCAGTGAACATCCCAATCCCCACTCAAATAGGCTCTAAAATGGGTGGTGCACCTACCCCAAAATGGTACCATTGGTTTTGACCCCCAGCCTTGTGGGAAATGGGGTGAGTCTCCCCCAAATGAGCTACAATCAAAACCCGGGTAGATGAAGGTTAGTAGGGGACAATCCCAGCCAAAAACAGCTGCGGCCGCCGTTGTACTTCCTTACATGGCTCTGGGTCAACCGTTTTAATACCGGGTTTTGATTGTGACTCAAATTGACTGGATGCCTGAAACTTGAACCGAACCTGTGCGCCGAAAAACTGCAAGTGGGGGTTGCTCCTGGTCATTGCACCTTTATATAGAGTATGTCGAGCACATCCTTCGAGAGCCACCGCACCCAATTGAACATGGCTCTTTCTTCTACCAGGTTGCTACATCATATTCTTGGTGCTGCGAAAGTTGTACCCCATGCTGTACGAGCACAACCAGGATTCAAGAAGCTCTGTGCGGGCGAGGGGGGAGGGGGGTGGGGAGTCTGACGGCAACTTTGCAGGAAGTTTGCCAAGTGTGCGCCGGCCAATGTGCAGAGTTTCGCCAGGTTGCTGTCAGGCTGCATATTGCCGACGGGCATTCTGTGTGACTTGCAGAGTTAGGCTTTGGTGGCAGGTGTACAACCTGACAGCAAGTTGGCTACAGCTTGTTTGCCTCGGCAAAGTATTCGGAACAACAAGTGTTGGTTGGCGCTGGTCAGGGTGCTGGTCAGGGTGCTGGTCAGGGTGCTGGTCAGGGATGTTTTAAAGGGTAACCCAAAGGAAAGCCACATTTTCAGATGTTCCCTGAAAAAAGAGACACTCAATTTTGTTCGCGAAGATGTCGATTGGAACATGACATTTCAGTCCTCCAATTCCATGCCCATTATTTGGCAGGAAGTCATCGAGAAACTGAAGCAGGAGCGCTTCAAGCTGAGCAGCAGCGTTTTTGCGCCGGTACCGTGGCCTTGAGCAAGGACCTGGGACCCTTCCTTCAAACTGGTCGCTTTTGACGGTCCCGAGTTGCACTCACTCTACGAATCTTAATAGTCAGAACCACCGATCCAGAGTGGTTGAACATGAATCCCCTGGTTGATGTTCACCAAAGGTCCGGGACGTTTACAAAAAAAAGCAAAAACAACAACAGCCTGTCTTAGGTGATTGCGTCCTCCAGAGTCACCGTGGATGATGCCATCGAAGCGGTAGGCCTCGACCACGGCCCGGTGCCAAGAGACCACCGAATTCAGCAGGGCTTCCGCCCTGTCCCGCCGACCCCGGGCCCGAATAAAAAGATAGAAATATGTAAAGAAGAAGACAGATAGAAACACGTCAAGATGGACATGGAGTATTCTCCCAACCTGTCCAGTCCCTTTGAATGTGAACAAACAAATATGTTTATTCAAATATAGACGTGAAACAACAGACAAATATAAAATGAGTAAATGTAAGTACGTTTATAGGATAACAATAGTACACATGAAAGGTAATACAAGATGGAAAACACTATACACGAAAACCATGCTGACGACGATGAGAATGATGATCACCATGATCACCACGATCACCACGATGATGATGATGATGATGATGATGATGATGATGATGATGATGATGATGATGATGATGATGATGATGATTATGATGAGGTTTAGGCATCCCCAGCATCGCAAGCGGTGCCTAACGGAATCTAAACGAGAATGCGTCCCCAGCATCGCCAGCGGGGCTTGATGACGACGAGCAACATACCATTCAACAATGATTTGTTGCCACCCTTCCCGTGCGCCCTCCTCTGACAAGAAGCGGTCGGCGGATTTTCACAGGTGGCTCGGCTCCTAGCTGGTTTTAGTACAGCTGATGTAAAGCTCAACGGAGGGGATTTCAGTGAGATTCCCATTGCGAGCTGCATTCTGAGGGATTCAGGTTTGCAAGAGATTGTATGTTGCTTGCTGTTTTGGATTGGCTCTTTTTGAGATAAGAAGGAACCGAGGCAAGCAGTTTTTATGCTTCTTGCTGTGAAGTAAAGACCCGGGCTTGCTCAGTTAGTTGCTTTGCGACAGGCTCGATTCCAGCATTCAGTCAACAGTCAGTCAACACTACAGTTAACAGTCGACTCTGAACATGGAGATGTTCCCCCACATGTTTGGGCCCCTAGCAAGCATTTTCGTAGTGTTGATAGAGGAGCAACAACCCTGGACCACCCAAAGTACCCGCAACAACCAGTCCCTGTCCATGTCCTCTTGACGAAAAACAACACGGAATTTGGTCCTCTGCTCGTGTCCAAGCAAGCAACCACCCCTGAGGCATGCTGCTGCAGTTTGCTCAGTTTGTCGCAAGCTCAGTGGGAGTGTGGGCCACGCTGCAATTCGGAAGAGCACAAAGAGGCCATGCGGCCTTGCTCACCTTTAACGAGCTGTGGCGCGCAAGCTACTTTTGCGAGCGGGCCAAGCGGGTTCATGCATCACGCTTTCGAAGTTGGAATCGTTCCGCTCTAATGAGGGGCGCAGGGTTACAAAGTGGTGACAGAAGCTTCAAAAGGCTGGCCCCTTGTGCCCAGACCTCGCGTGTTCCTATCGCGGAGCAAGGTCATGACCCTCATGCTGATGATCGGCATTCCAGCGCTGGTCGTGCTTTGCCGGATTCCTAGGGCTCGGAGGCAATCTCAGGGGTTCCAGCAGAGAAGCTGCTCTGCCGACCTGAGTCATAAGAAACACTCGGGTAGATGAAGGTTAGTAAGCGCCAGTCCCAGCCGGAAGCAGTTGCGGATATTTTTTCATGTCCTTACATGGTTCTGGGAGACCATCTTCATACCCGTCGGTTTTGATAACTCACCTGGCCATGGGTCAAACTCCAAATCGTACCCCCAGTGAACATCCCAATCCAACCACTAACATAGGTCCTCAAATGGGCGGTGAATTGACCAATCCCAACCAAAATGTGATCGATCCCAAAACGGTTTGACAACCACAGCCATCTGAGCACCCAAAACGGTGCTGGTTTGAACGTCTCACCGAGGCCCCATGTTCGCCCTGGCGGGTGGCCATGCGGCTCAGAGCCGGCTGAGCTTTATTGGCTTCGCCAACGTGAAAGAGAAGCCCGGCGGCAAGCTGGCGGTGGTTGTCAAAACCAATGGTCCCGAAACTGGGGATTGGGTGCACCACCCATTTTAGAACTTATTTTAGTGGTTGGGTTGGGATGTTCACTGGGGGTACGGGATTTTGACCCATGGCCAACTGGCTGTGGTTGTCGAACATAGGGTAACCCCCAAAACAGAACCCTGGTAAATGGAACCAAGGACTCAAACCTGCAGTCTCCGAGTGGTTTGATTTTGACCCAACCCCAACTCTCGCCGCAGCCTCTGCCAATCTTGCGCAAGGGAGCAGAAAGCAAGAACGAAATTGCAATTTCATGGAGCAAGCTCATTATGCACGAGGCAGGTGCTTCACAAAGCCTCCAGATGTTCCTTTTCATGCCCATTCAGAAAAGACTTGCGTAGTGTCTGATGTGACTTGCCTTGTCAGGAATAGCTTGGTGTGCTACCCTGTGGCTCTCTTTGTGTGGTACGTGGTCATCGTCACACAGTGGAAGATCTTCAGTGTCATGGACGGGAGGGCCGAATCAGAGAGAGGCATCCGAAGCAGGGGGTTCTAGTCCAATATCCAACCAGAATCAGCTTGTTTTCTGAGTGTCATTTGTTGCACCCGATGGTTCCAGACGCTTTCGGGCTTTACTTTGCGTTTGTGGCGCCGATGTTTGATGGTCCTCCAAGTTCCGCACGACACGCTGTAGCCTTTGGATGCAAAGGCTAACGTGTCACATGCCTGCAAGCTGGTTCCCTCCAAGTAGAATCTGTACAGTCCCGTTGCCACACGACGCATGCCACACGAGGTAGGCTCCGCACAAGGCTAGGCTTTGGACGTTTGGATGTGCAATGTGGGAAGGTGCGTGCGGTCGGGGTCTAATTTTTCAAGAGCTGCGCTGGAACTTTCCTGGGAATTGGGACGTTGCCAGGAGAACAAGTTCCAGCAGAGGCGGAAAGACTGGCTGATGCGTATGCCAATGCCACGATCGCAGACCGTGTTGTTGGAGTGCATCCCCGAAGAGTGCTTCGGTCCGCACTCATTGGTTTGTGGTCCGCGGTCCGCGGTCCACTCGCTTTGCACATTTGGAGAGGTTGGGAAGCAACGGCAGCAAGAGCAAAGGGAGAGAAGCCTGCTTGTTCCAGCAGATTTCTGTCAATCTTGCAAACATCGCAGTTTCCACTCATGATGAAGTGCTGATGGGGAATGAGGAGCCAGCCTTGTCTGTGAGGAAACCCACCATTTTGTGGACCCCCGTTCCCCTATGAGACATACGCCCCATGCTTCACCCCGGGCTCATTCTGAGCCAGCTTGCACGAGGTTTCGCAGCCAGAAAGCTCTAAAGGAGTTCTTCGAGGACATCTTCGGTGGAGGAGAATCCATCCCTTTTGGCAATTGGCTGTGGTTGTCAAAACAGTTTTAGGATCCCATTTTGGCTGGTAGGTGAATTCACCACCCATTTTAGGACCTATTTTAGTGGTTGGATTGTTTGATGTTCACTGAGGGTACGGGCTTTTGACCCATGGACAAATTGCAATTGCCAGAGCGATCCAGTAGCCTCATTCCTGTGTTTGCCTTTGGAGCCATATGAATCAAAATGCAACACCAACAATGCGCCTTCCATCTAATTACTCAAAACAGGCTTGGCTCATACAAATGTTTACTTCTTGCGAATGTCAGGGCGAGGCATTTGTGTCTGCATGCGGTGGTGCATTTTGATTCATATGGCTCCAAAGGCGAACACAGCAATGAGCAATTAAGAATAAGCTACGGTTTTGATGACATTGGCAGTTCAGACGAAAACCACAGCAACTGTTTAGATCTAAGATGCGCATTAGCCAATACAGTTTGGCAGCTGTCATCCTGTCGGCTGTTTGAATCTTCACTTGTCTTGCATGCTCACATTTCGCCGTTTGCCCGTGTTTTGATATCCGAGTGCATGAACATTTGTGACAGGATGCATCGATGAAATTTTCTTCGTGCGAGACACCACAACCCTTATGACCTGCGGCTTGACTGTGAGTGCGTCGAAACGCATGCTGTGCTTATCGTTTCCAGTGACTTTGTCAATGTGAACCGCGAGCTGTCGGTCAGTATGCTTGCATGCACAGCGAGTAGCGCCTTCGGTCACAGTTTCAGGCTCAGTGCATTCAGCAGATTTCCAGCTTTGCAGGCACCAAAATCCGGGACGAGTGCAGTCAAGATCTTCATGAAGCAGAGTTTGCTTGGGACAAGTCAGGCCGAGGGCTCGGGGTACTGGCCTGGGCCAGTCTGATCGCGTAAGATCGTCAGATTCAAAGCCTTGGGGCCCCTTGGGGCCCCTTGGGGCCCAAGGGGCCGTCCGGCGAGTCAGGCGAGGCAGACGAAGACGCACGCAAGAAGCTCGAGGCAGCACTGGATGTGGCCGAGAAGAAGGCGCCGGCTTTCCATGCGGTCGTGCGAATAGGAACCCCCCGTGCCCTGAAAGCTGAAGATGTCTTCTCGTTTGGGGCTTTCCCCGCGTTTCCAGCTTCGCGGATGTGCGAAGGTGGAAGAAGCCCGGCAGGAAGTTCTGGAGTCGGAGAAAGGCGCGAGTCAAGTCTGCTTTACACTCGCTGGATTTTCCTTACTTTGGCTTGCTTGCTTTGCGTTTTTGTTTGTCTCTCGCTTTCTTTCCATTTAGTTTTCCTTATCCGATCTATTCATACATTGTCTACTCGCCCCTTAGCCTTCTTGCCTCGCTGTGTGCCTTCAGCGGGATTTTCATCGGCCTTTTCTGATTCTGCTTTGCTTCTTTTGTAAACTTGCTGTCCGAAAGGCCTGCAGAGAGTTATGGAGTCGGTCTCCCACTGCCACCGAACACTTTGCAGTTCCCAGCCATTTTCTGTGCTGAGCTTGACCGACGACTTTGTCACGAGTCCTCTGCCCCAGCTCCGTCCGCTGTGCTATCTGTCCTTTTTCTTGCCAGCCACTGGGTCAAAACCAATGATACCATTTTGGGGTAGGTGCACCACCCATTTTAGGACCTATTTTAGTGGTTGGATTGTTTGATGTTCACTGGGGGTACGATTTGGATTTTGACCTATGGCCAGATCAGCCAAGTACCTCATTCGCAGTGTCATAGTTCCTTGCGCGTCTCCTCTTGGTATCTGCGGGGCTCCTTTGTATGAGATGCCTATATTAATCGATGGAAGCCAGCTGCCAAGCGCCGCAAAATGGAGGACACAGCGCCTCTGCTTTCGTGACCTTCAAGGATCAGAAGCAGAGCATCATGGCCAGCTGCCTAGGTTAGGTTGGACGCACCTTCTCTTTTTATATGGCCGTGGGTCAAAACCAATGGTACTATTTTTGGGGCAGGTGCATCACCCATTTTAGAACCTATTTTCGTGGGGATTGAATCGGATGTTCACTGGGGGTACGATTTGGATTTTGACCCATGGCCATATCTCAGACATTGCTTGCCGTACAAACAAAGCTTTCTCGCTGCCCTGTTCCGCTTGGAATGCGGCGCTGTGAAGCCCAGAGGCACTCAACATGCGATACACCGCGGATGATGAGGACAGCACTTGCGTGACTAGCTTCAGGCTAAGATATGGGTGTCCTTTCTGGTGAAACCCTTTTGGTGTCAAAGGGAAGCCAAGAACAAGCCAACAATTTCGGGAGTCCTCTGAGACAAATCCACCAGGAGTTTGTGGTTTCTGTGCCGCCGGACCCTGCAGATGTGCGCTACAACGACCTGCGGGCCGGGTTTGGGCAGGTACCAAACCGTTGGGCATGTTCACGCAGAAATATCCTAAGCTTTCACACGCATTGCGCACTGCTGGCATGCTTGCGTTCATGAGGGAGGTAGTTGAGGTTGAGTTCCTGCTGGTAAGCAATGTGCAAGAGTTGGGCAGTGTGCAAGTTTTCAGTAATGGAGGGCTGCAGCAGTCTTACATTGGCGGCATCCTCCAGCGTCCCTTAAGCGGCGAAGCAATCAAGTCCAGACAGAGCGCGACCGGAAGCTTGCAGTCTTGACATGTCCTTGCCATGAAAAAATACGAGGACACAAGTGAGCTCTACGCTTTTCACCTGGGACAAGACAGGTTTCAAAAGCCCTTGACACTACGTCGGTTGTGCTCACAACAGAGCCGACGTGCCACTCTTGCCACTGAGGACAAATACAGTCAGAACGTATCTGTAACATCAAGCACAGCTGGAGGACTGAAGTATCTTTAACTAGCGTCTGTCCTACATGATATGAACACACACACACACACATGCGTGCGCAACCATCGCTTGTAACTTGTAGCTCCTCTTGCTCACAAGAATCTAAGTCAAACATCCGCAAGCTGAGACCGCCCCCAAAAACGCGTCGTTTGTCCGTTGCCTCACCCCTAGGTGGATTATCGCGTAGAGGCTGCGGGCAGGACGCTGGGCTATGGCAGCTTGGCGGGTGCAGTTCAGGGCTGTGCACTTGGTTGTTCTCTTTTTTGAAGGTGTATTTACCCCCTTTACCTTGGTTCAAAGGGAAGCCAAAAGGGCACCATAGATTTTGGGCCTCTATGTGACAGATGGGGGTGAAAACCCATAGGATCCCATTTTGGGGTAGGTGAATTCACCACCCATTTTTCATTTTTGCACCTATTGTAGTGGTTGGATTGAATCGGATGTTCACTGGGGGTACGCTTTTGATTTTGACCCATGGCCAGATGATGGTCCTCAGGAATGATAGCCGGGCTGTTCTTCGGCTTTATCCCGATTGTGGCTGGCGTCACCAACTTGTTGACGCTGGAGAGCGTGACAAAGGCCTTGGGGGGCTGGAAGACAAGGACATGTGGCTGTGGGTCAATAGGTACAAAATGGGAACCCTGGTAAATGGAAACACGAGCTGAAACCTGCGGTCCCCTGGTTTAACTTTGACCCACACCCATGTGGCTGTGGGTCAAAATGAGTCACCAGGATATGGACCGCAGCTTTTTGAAACCATGTTTCCTCTTACAAGGGTTCCATTTTGGGGTTACCCTATTCACGAAAGCTAGCTTTAGCTAGCTGAAGTTTCTGCTTGCGTAAGCAAGGTAAGGGGCTCAACTGCCGAAAGATTGATTTTTTCAATTATTTGAGCCGAAAAGATTGAAAATAATCAATTATTTGGACCCCCCCCCCCTCCCGTCTCAGGCTCGATTCCTCCTTGGTCCACCCTTCCCCCGGGCAGTGGCTCAGTGTTTCAGCAGTCTCGGTTTACCCGTTTTGGACTTGGTGCTACGAACTTTTACATGTTCCACCGATTCAGCTTGTTCATTTGAGACCTCAGTCTTCTCAGTAGACCACCTCGCAAGAATCTTTGCACACGCAGCATGCAGAACCCAGAGGTGCTTTAAGACAGCTTCTGACGCCTCTCGTTGTTTTCATTTTTCAAGGTTTGCCACGCCACCATGTGCGTTTGCGTGTCGCATCCTACGAATCTTGCCGGGCCTCTCGTTGTACACAAGCTACCTATGAATCCACTCTGTCACCGACCCATCTCATGCAACAACTGCTAGCTTTCGTTCACCCGCTCCTCAAGTTTTGACCCACAGCCATATGATCATGAACACATGCGGTCGATTGCAGCGTGCACTTGCTTTGCGTCGTTGCCGCAGCGTGTTGCTTCGTGCGATGCTTTTGGAACCAGCAGCAACTCAGGCTGTTAAAGCTTAAAGCTGGCTCCTTATTACCGCCACGCGCTCATCATTTTGTTACACGCGTCAGAGCCGGTCCCACTGTTTGCTGCCAGAATCCTCCTTCAACATGCATGGATTCGGAACCAGGCCTTTATTTCCAAACGCGTGCTGCGACCGTGACACTCCCTACCACAGCGAAAGCCTTGTGTGCCAAGTTCGCTCTGCATTTTGGCAGCTTGGATGCAGAGCCTGTCGCGCCTTGGCACGCATGCTCTTTTTGATCCGCAGGTTGACTTGTTGAACACTTTCTTCGACAACAACCCGAGCCTCGCGGCCATGTGGAGCTCTCTGGAGCCTTGGACAAGCGTTTAAAGAGACCTTCCGTCGCAGATCTCAGAGGTGAATTTGGGCAGTTCAACTTGACTTTCTACACTCAAATGGCAGCCATGTCCCTGGTGTGCTTTTTGCGTGTTCTGATGAATTTGCTATCCTAGGCGTCAACCTTGGGCCTCACGATCTTCATGTCCTTTCTGCCGACCTTCCTGGCCGGAACCCTGAAGTGAGCTCAAGTCTGCGCGGACAGGAGCAAAACCTGGGAAGTTTGCCCAGCGATGCTTCAACTCGGAGAGAACGTGTCGCCGAGGTGCTCATTTTCAACTACTGCTTTGCCCTCAAGGCGCGTGTCGCCGGCGTTTTTGTTTTGTCCGGCGGACGTTGGCCATGAGACTCGCAAGTTCCGGTGGGTTGCTCCAGGGTGAGCCTTGCGGTGTTGCAAGTTGCATGCTTGCCGTTGCTCAAATTGCCATGGCCATGGTTCAAAACCAATGGGATCCCACTTTGGGGATTGGGTGCGCCACCCATTTTAGAACCGAGCTTAGTGGGGATTGGGATGTTCGCTGGGGGTACGGGGCTTTGACTCATGGCCACATGCATTGCGTGTGTAATGCACGCTCAGATCATTCAGGCAGATGCATGGGAGCAGCATCTCATCCAGCAGTGGTACTTCTACTTCTTGGCTCCCTGACTGCGCGGTCTCTAGGGACTGTTCGATGTTCAGTGCAGGTGGATCCTTGCGCAGTTGTGTTTGACTGCTAGGGATTGCCAGCTTGAGTGTCAGGTGGATTGCCCTTTGAAGCAAGGCAAACATAATTTTTGCGTGAGCAGATTGGGACATTGCAATGCCAAGGTTGTATATGTGCTCTTGGTGCGTCTTGTATGCACAGTCACGGCCATGCCTTGACGCGTTCCCGGCTTCCCAGAGAAAATGTCGCCCAGCCAACGCTGGCGACAGGCCGACAGGCCTGCAGGTTCGTAGGCCAAGGGGGGGACGGCACCAGTAGCAAACGAAGTGTCCTACCAGGGGAACGCGGCTGTGACAAGTATCCTACAATCGCCCAGGCATGTCAGTAACCGTGACAGGTTTTGAGAAACCTCGACAGACTGTGGGTAACCACGCTATACTTTTCCAGTAATCACGACAATACAACCCCCGTTTGTGCTGATCTTGCAGCCCAGGACCGCTGTTGGCACATCGCTTTGGGAACGATCCACGGAGTTGATCGAGGAGCGCGGGCAAGCACTCAACGACTGCTGCAACAATGTATTTGGCTGTGGGTCAAGAATATGTACCCAACATGGAACCCTGGTAAATGGAAGCTTGGAATACAACCTGCAGTCCCCTGGTGGTTTAATTTTGACCCACACCCATTTCTAGCCGGACAGGGGCGAAGCATTTTGATGCCTAACTTTACATGATTCAACAAGCACTGTTGAAGAGCAGGCGCCCCCCCTCCAAAAAAAACCAGAAATGAACAAATCAATGCATAACTAAAATGAAAATGACATAAATCAAACACACAAAGGAAACAACAAAACACAAAAGACGACAACTTAATTGAACCATATCTAATTACATGAATCAATAAATTAACAAAGGGGTCAAATTAACAAGCGCAATCTGTGTGGCAGGTATGGGACGGTCAATATCACACTCTTGGAAAGGGCTGCGTCGTGTTGAACTTCAACAACACTTTTGCCGGGCTTTTATACGTATGTAATGTAGTACAAGTATATGGACATGTACCATGTACAATGTACATGCAATGCAATGCAATGCAGTGCAATGTAATGTAGTGGAATGTACTCTACGCATGTATTGCATTCGTGTATATGGACTTGCATTTGCATATGTATAGGTATCATAAGGTGTTCATGCCCTCATGCCAATATCCCCAAATCTGTACACAATGTTTGGCAATGATTGTCAAGCATAGTCCGAAAGCTAGTCCAACAATTGCCAAACTGGCAAATCCTGGTGTACCCTGCCGTTTGTTGGGTGTTTCTTTTGGATAGTGTTTGACAGTTGTCGGAATATTTGGCAATCTGGATACCGGGTTTCCCCAGAAATTGTACCTAAATTGTACAATCACGGGGGTCTTTGGGGGGGGCGTCCACCTGACAACCTCATGAATGCACATGTGTACATGCATATTCACATGCACGTGCAGTGAAAGGGAGGTGTTGGAACATGCACTCCGACAGCTCGGCGCGGGCAGAACCCTACTGCGATCTTCAGCCTCCTGGCGAACTCGCTGCCGAACGCCTCGCACTTCTACTTGAATTATGTTCCTCTGCAGTGCCGGCCTCAGAGTGAGAGTTGGGACTAAGCGTTTCACGTATTGAAAGAGACAAGATGACCCAGCAATTGGCTTGGGCAACCCTGTTGGTGCTGGAGCTGAGCAACCTGGCATCTGAAAGTGGGGGCTGCCCAGATAGTGTTCATATAGGTTCTTAGGATGTTTGCACAAACCATGCCTCTGGGGACGTTGAGGTGGGTGACCGTGCAGAGACGGGATGGTAGTGGCAACATGCAAACTATGCAGTGGATGCGTGTCTGCGCTTTACGAACCCAACGTTTTGCTCTTTCAAGCACAATCAGTTACAAGGCAATCTGAAGCGAGAAACACTGGCAGCACGTAGTTTTGGAAGGCTAGATATCACAAGAATGCTGGCTTCTTGTCAATTGAAGCTCAATTCGGGCTTTTAGAAGTCAGGCATTTTCCATTCAGCTCAACAGTCTAGCTATCAGATCGGTAGGGGACTTCCTACCGGCTTTCTCAGCCGCTCAGGTGGTCCACCCATGCCATGAACATGACTCGCTACATCAACGTGTTCAAGTATGTGGGTTTCCGCAAGGCCTGCGGATCTTGTCGCGTTGCACTTGGCGGCTTGTCTTTGCCGAAACCGCATGTGATGGGTGAGTCGCGAGGGTCGCATAGGGGATGGAAGGCGGCTTGCCGTGAGTCCTTTGTCCTTCAGCCCTTGCTCTGGAGGTTTGCTCTGAGGAGAGGGCAAGAAGCAAAGCTGAACCTGAAGACCAAGACTACTATGGTAGCATGGCTGCAGAGCACGCAGTGCGAAAGCGTCCCACGCTGTGACCCTTTTTGATTCAGTTCCATGTCGTTGCCCGACTGAAGATCTAAGGTATTGGCTCACGCAGCGCCCGGCACACGCTGATCGCCGTGACTGGCCTGGTCTTTTGCACCCTGTGTCCTCTGATTTGTATTCTTTGCCTCATCAATGGAGCCTTGGTTGCAGTGTCCAACACGAATTGGGTTGACCCTTCCCCTGGGAATGTGGGGCAGGCGTTGATCAACCTACATGTGAACACCCAACCAAGGATGTGTGTGCCGCTTCTTTTACGGCTTCCTGAGTGCCTCTTGTCTTGCATTGCGGGCAACCGTCTCACCATTCATGCTAGAAATGAGTCACAGCTCTTCTGTTGGCATAAGCCAGAGGAGCCAGAAGGTTCGCATGTGAGAGGTAGACTGGAAGCCCAGGTGTATGCTGAGGAGAAGAAGGCCGGCTGGTCGGGCGGTTGAAAAAGCTGCTGATAGCATGCAGTACAAGCAATATCAATTGACGCAGTCATAGCCTCAGCACTGCTGGATCACACACCTTGCCTTGGATGACTTTGCGACCACGCCTCATGCTCAATCTTTTCCTTGGGCCAGTTTGGCGTCCTTTGGCGAAAAGCCAGTGGGCTCATGGTACAGCCAGCTTCACGAGATGTGTTCGCCCAGCCAACGTCCTGTTCTCCATGTTTCCACGCCGCGAGGCAGACCTTGGCGGTGTCTTCTGGCTGACTCAGATGCGGCATATGCAGCAGGGTCTGCTGGAGCCTTACTGGTCTGGCAGCTGTTGGAAAGATCTGAGGGTTTCGAAGTGTCATTTGGACAGGAAGTTACATTTCCGCCTTTGCACGTTTTCAGCATGTAATGGAAAACGCTGCTGACTAGGGCACCTCTGGTGCGCATGTCTGTTCTACGTTTTGGTGAGCACGTAGGGATGGCAGAATTCTCCTGCACCCCAGGTTGGTCTACCTCATTCTCATGACGGGTGTGCTGCTTGAGCGAGGGCAAAACATTGTCCCGGGAGTCATAGCGGCCTCTCGGCTGATTGGCCCATGTCAGAGGGGAGCGCTGCGGCGTGGCTGTTCAGATGCGGGCGATCTTGTGCTGAGAAAGCGGCGATGTCTTTTGCGTTGTAGCATCCCTCAGCTCTAAGAGGAAGACCCTCGAGACCAAGTGTCTGTTGAGTTTTGGTTTCAAACCAGTTGCGCATGTCTCAGCACTGTGCGGCCCACCCTCTTGATCGAAGAATTCACTTCTTGCACGACCTGAGCAAGTGAACCATCTTAGTCTATTTTAGTTGGGATTGGGATGTTCACTAGGAGTACGGGGTTTTGACCCACGGCCAAAATGAGTAAATGAGTTGGAGCCCTGCCGTTTGACGCTCTAAAAACCCAGAAGGGCCCGATCTTGAGCGTGACAGTGCCCTTTGGTCCGCCCGCTGGTGGATTTTTCTTTTCCCCGAGGGCAGCAGTGCGGCCTTGTGGGTGTGGACCTACCGACGCTTCAACCACAAGTTCCACTTGGAGAACTTGCCCTTGCGCGACTTGAAGGCCCCGAACTTTGGAACCGAACTCGAAGGAATGAGCGAGGTTCTGCCATAGCAGTCTTCAGCGCGATTCAAGAGCCGGGGGGGGGGAGGTAGGCGAGTCACACAGCCTTTTTGCGGGGAAATAGGACAAACAAGTGCCAGACTGTGGCTTCCTCTTGTTTCAGGAACCTGAAATTCTGAAAACATAGGTGTCGTTTTTTGGTTGGTTGAAAACTAAAGAGCCCTTGTCATGGTTCAACCATCTGACTACCAGGGCCATCTATTTGCCAAAAAGGACACCTATGCCTGAAAAGGGTTTCCAACGCCCGCGCTGATCTGGACCTGAACGTCCCAGGCTGCGGCATCTGGGGACAAGCGAGAGACCTCAAGGGCCAAGTACATGCAGCCAGTGCCGCGGCAGATGCCGCAGACGGACTGTGACCTGTGGGTATTTGGGGGTTGACCAATATTCCGTTTGCCCAAAATGACTCTAGGGAAGCTTTTTCCCCATGCAGTGGCGATTTAGTCATCTTTTTGGATGGCTTCCGTATCAATATTGCCATCATCGCATGAGGATTCCTTTCAAAGGATGTCCCCGCCAAACAGAGTTTGGACCATAGCATGCTAATTGTGTACAACCTATGGCCAGCTCAGAGACTCAAACTTACTGCTTGCCCGTGCCCTGCCTGTTGCCCAGACCGCACACCAAGTATGCGGGCTGGCAATCTCCGTAGTAAGCAACACCCGTATCCACATGGCTAATCCGCCAAGTAGAAGCAACATATTGGTCCATGTAAGAAAGATGATCTTCCAGTCGCACAGCCAACACTTGCAGGCCAGCATGCGCATCTCACGGACCAACCATGGAGAATCGGCTGTTGAGAATGCATGCCAGCTTGTTGATGCTGAGCCTTTGACGCGCTTGATTCCTTCTCCTTAGCTGGTTCAGAACCAGGCAGCCACTTGTTTGCCCGCTTGGCAGTGAACGCACAGAAGGCAAGAGCGAGCGTCCATTTGGATTTCACCTCCAGATGACTTTGTTTTGTCTGGAAATGGATCAACACATCAGTTCCTCCCTCTCAAGCGTTGGGTGACTTGCATCTCCGGGAAAGCGGATTCACATCTTGTCCCTGAGGTCTCCTTGCAAAGGTTCTTTTTTGTTACTCATTCGCTTTGAGCCCCGGAAAAGGCAGGGGTAGGAATCGCAAAGCGCGACTCATTTGCCGCCAAGGAGTTGGTGGTCCACGAGGATAGCCCTAGGAAGCGCAAATGAGAGAATTTGGTAGCTGGCCCGGCCGTTCGGGAGGATGCCGCTCAAGTACAAGGTGACTTGTGCGGCTCAAGTCCTCCCAGCTTTACCCAAAGGCCAAAGAGCTTTGTGCTTGCATTGGAGGCCAGTCTGCCAGTCGCAGACTGCGAAGAGAGGTCCGTCCGCTGGAAGGGAGACTAAACTAGGACTCGGCCGCTCGGCTCTTGGCGATCTCAGGTTTCATGGAGTGGTCGCATTCAGCTTTGAGCCACTGCAATGAAGAGCCCTGTGTGGCTACACAGGGGCAGCATGGTTGGAGGTCAGCATTTTTGTCAAGATTTGAAGCAACGTACCTTGTCAGGGCTCCTTAAAAGATACATTTTGCCCATTTGAAACATGGCTTTTTTCACCAGAATCAAGGGAGACCACCATTTACAAGGCAATGTTCAGGTGTATAATGTAAGGATCCCTGTTTGTTCAGGCAATTTAGACACGCAATCAGAGATTCGCAGTGACCCATTCTGCTTGCTGCAAGCCAGCTTTGCAGGGCAACCAGGATGCGCACTTGGGCCTCTGCCAGAAGGGTTATTATAAGCCGTGCACAAGGGAAGAAGTAGCCTCCGAGTGTTTTTCCCCCTGCGATAAAGCATCATGTCAGAGCAATGACTGATTCAGCCATTTGCAGAATAAACACATAAGGTTGCATTGGGTTCCTTAGCTTTAGCGGGCGCGTGAATGTTTGGTCCCCTCTTTTGGCGATTGATTCCTCCCACAAAACTGTCATCGGCAGACTGCTGGCAAACTTAGTCGCCACAAGAAAATGTTTCCACAACCACAGGCTTTGAACAACTCCGCAGTTGCAGTTGTCGACTGCGCTTGCTTACTGACATAGTTGTCCTCATGCTTGGTCTATCATTCATGATCCATTCACCACTTGAGGCATTCAGCATGGCAATGCTTGTGACCGTTGCTCAAGAGTATCTTGGCGTGCTCCCTTGAGCAAAGCCCAACCTATGTCCCGTCTTTTTGCTTTGAGTCAGCTTCACAGTTCTTGGCAAGCTTTTTGTTTTTTGGTTCTGTTCATTTTTTGTGGGGGCTGAACAAACAGCAAAGTTTTTTTTGTTGGTCGAGCCCTTTTGTGGAGTTTGCCCAGCTGCCCTTTCTCCTATCTCTTTGTTTGCATAGTATGTTCCCTTGAAATCTTCACTCACGTGCTTGGCGGGAAATCCCAGAAGCTAGACCAGAGAACGGCGAGTCCTAGAGAGATGAAGGCAATCGAGTTCTTGCGCATGGCATGAAAAACCCTTCCATTTCACCACCAAACGACCGATTCAGCTCCAAACCACCCTTTTTGAGAGAAGTTGACCTGCCACCTCTTTTTCCCCTCAACTGCTAAGGAAAAAGTGACCTACCTTTTAGTGCCAGTTTGGCTTTTTGTTGGGTTTTTCCCTTGGGTTTTTTTCCCTTGGGTCGCCTTTCGGTTTACCACACGGGAGCCATCGATCCGCAGGAGGCGCTGCTGCGGGCGCAGCGGGCGCTGCGGGCCTTCGCGGCCGCGGTGACCCGCGAGGCCTTCCTCCTGGCCCTGGAGGCGACGCTCCCAGTCGCGGTCCGAGCGGAGCGCGGAGCGCGGAGCGCGGGGATTTGGCTCGGGGGTTTTCGCATGAGTCACGTCCTCAAAACCGATTCGGGTAGATGATCCGGTTAGGGACGGTCCCAACCAGAAATAGCTGCGGATCTCCGGCTTCTAAATTCTTGAAGCATGGTTCTGGGTAGACCAGCTACTTAGAACCTATTTTGGTGGGGATTGGGATGTTCACTGGGGGTACGGGCTTTTGACCCATGGCAAAATTGGCATTCACCTGGATCGCCAGTTGCGAATCGCTTTTTTTTTCTCCGTCTGCTTTGCCCCAAAAACCAGCAACGGTGACTGACAAAAAAAGCAGCGACTTGGCTATCTAGGCAATTCTTCCAGGTATGTCCAGGTAGGTGGTTTCCAGGTTTGCGGGTTGGCGGATACTTGCTCAGTTTCCTTGGCGACCGATTCCTCCAGGTGAGCCACGTCCTCAAAACCGATTCGGGTAGAGGGGCAGTCCCAGCCAGAAATGGTTGCGGATATCCGGCTTCTTGATTCTTTACATGGTTCTGGGTAGACCATTGTAATACCGGGCTTTGATTGTGACTCAGGTAGGTCCAGGTGGTTTCCAGGTTTGGGGGTTGGCTGATCATTGGGTAGTGTCCTTGAAAGCCGTCCCTTGAAAGCCGTCCCAAAGTGTCGATCCTAGATCCCATGCGAGGTGCGGTCGGCATTGCTGGTTTGGCTACCCAACACCACCATTCAATTTGGATAGACTTTCTGGGTTTGCGAGGCACACTGTCAAGATTGCCTGATGTGTCTATAAGGGGACGAGCTCTAAATTCAGGCCTACAGGAGACATCAAATTTCCCAGGTCCCGGAAGAAACCGCATTTTTGACCGTGGCTGATGTGGGTGTGTTTTTCTCTGCACCATTCTGGGGGTCCTAAGAACATGAACGCCGAAAAACCGCTGGCCCTTTCAGAAGGTGGTTCTACCAATTAGCTTAAGGGGGGATTCTAATATGGGGGCGGCCATTACAAGCCTTGTCCATGTTGGTCGAACCAAAAGTCGATGGGGTTGGGCGCTGCTCATGTGGCTCGGATTTGGGGAGCACCAAACAAGCAGGGGGGAGGGGGTTTGGTGAACAGGAATCCCTGAGTAAATGATGTGCCTCAAGGGTTCGTTCGGATCACTCGGAGTTTGGTTGGTCTGGGAAACCAGATGGAACCCACCATATTATATATATACACATGTATACACGTCGTCGTTTTTTTTCTTCTTCTTTAAACACATATTTTCGGGTCATTGCGAAAGGCTCCATGCGATGCTCGGCAACTCAGGCCGGGCATACACCGATGCCGAGCCGCGGCCAAGTGCTGGAGGCCCCGTGCAGAACTTGTCAAGTGGGATGGGTCGATGGGTCTCAAGTTTGCGGACGCCTTGAAACCATGGGCGTGTCTTGATTGGCGAGTACTCTGTTTTTGGTTGGTTTTTCAAGGGACACCAAAAGGAAAGGCTTTTTTTTTGGTTTGGGGGGCCGATATCTAGAAAAAACGCAGCCAGATCTTCAAACTGTAGAGAGCCCCCTTTTGGGCAGCCCCGTTCTTTTTCTTTCACCACAGGATTGCCTGGTCTGGATACGGAAAACACTCCGGTTCACTCCGCCAGGCCGCCAAGCCGCTGGAGGCGGGGAACCTGACGAGCGAATTTTTTCGACGGTTCGTTGGACGTCGGTTGCTTCAAAAGGAGAAGGGTCCTACTTGGCTGTGGCTCAAAAAAAAAGAGGAAAAAACATGGCTGCGACCTTTTGGAAAATGGATGTGTCTCAAAAGCAAAGTACCCAAAATGGCACCAAAAGGTACGTGGAACCAAAGACTAAGACCCGCGGTTTGCCCCAGCTCTTTAATTTTGAGCCATACCCACTTCCAGGAGCCCCGAACGTCAGGTTCCCATGTTGGGAGTGTACGTTTCCCTAGCCAAGCCTGAAATGGGCACCTCGAATTCATAGTCGGTGATTGGGTACTCAAATTTGGGACTCCCAGGCGTGTTTGGTTGGCGGGTCTGATCAGCAAGAAAAGGCCAGTGGGAGAGTTGCCTGAACTTTGGTGCATTTTGCTTGGATGTTAGGACTTTAACTTTTTGTCAACCAATGTGTTTTCCGTATTACACCGCTAAGAGTTAGTCACTGTTAGCAGGGCTTCGCAGATTTCGCCACCGAGTCGGTTCTCGCCGGGCCGGCTTTCAGCTCTCAGGCTGCTTTCCCAGTGTGCTGGCTGCGTTGGGCCCCGCGCCGCCTGGCAGAAGCAGCAGATCTAGGCCAGCGAGGCCAGCGAATGCCCTGAGCCCAGGTCCCCCAGCGCCCGTCCTCTCACCGTTTCTTTTTTTGGGGTTTTGGGTTCCCCCTACTAAAATCGACTACAGAAAAAAGTTGGTACCCTTATTCTAACCGCTGCTGGAGGACCTAGCCACAGACCGACTGGCTCGCGACTATCGACTGAATCCGCCAGGCGTGCCAGCGTCTGAGGCCCGGGACGTGCGTGGAAGCACTTCAGGATGCGTATCTTGGGCGTGTTCAATCCATTGGCTGCATCTCGTTCATTTCTTGGCGAAAGGGTGACGCTTGGGTCATGCCCATCCTTTCCGGCAAGTAGGTGACCCTTCAGCGGGTTTTTTTGGGGGGTGCTTGGAAGGTCCAATGCAATGCAGTCGAGCGTTCTTTGCACAGATCTTGGACATCAATGGCATGTCGTTGTCACGCTTTGCGTTGGCGCCAGAATTGGGGTCTCGCTGATTCGGATTTCCTTGGGCTCACAACAGACACAACCAATTGGGTTGATTCCGTGAAGCTGAACAGGTTTTCCTGACCCAAAGCACACCAAATGCCCAGAAAACCTATCCCCCGACCATGGTTGTTGTTGGGAAACATTTAAATTTTTGCTTATTGTGGTTTAGAGGGAAATCCCCACTTAACTGCTCAAATTTGTTTTTTTGCTCCCCTTCCAACATCAACCAAGCCACCGCAGAACTCGTCTCAGTGCCCCTAACCTCCCCGGGAGGCGCCAAAGCTGCGGCCGCCGACGCTGAAGCCCCTCGCGAACGGAGATCCGAAGCCGGCGCGCGCCCTGTTCCGAGCGAGTGTGTTGAGCGAGGGTGCCCGTTTCACATCGGCCTGATAAAACCAAAAGGACAACCAACTGTTTTTGTTTTGTTTTTTTGCAACCGGCACATACTCAACCGCAAGGGACAGCAGGTTCGACCCCGAGACGCGCTGGCTTCATTCTAGGTCGTTCACTTTACGCAAAGCCTGACTCCATGACTCAATGAGGAGGATCATTCACTTTACGTAAAGCCCAAAATTCATGGCTCAATGAGGATGGCAGCTGGCAGTTGTGGAGGTTCTTTGGATGTGCCCGCGCCAGGCAAGGCGCCGCATGCCAACCAAGCAGGCCTTGAAGCTGAAGCCTTGAGTATGGGAGCTGAGCGCATCGGGGGGGGGGGGGTCGTCGTGGAGACCACCCGGCACCGCGCTTCCCCAAAAAAAGGGGGAAGCGATGATACCGTGAAACGCCTTGTACAGAGAGGGTCGCGCGTTTGGACTTGGCGATAGATGCCAGGAATGCTGATGCTTGAGGGGCTAGACTGAGAAGTGGATAGACCTTGGTCGAATGCTTCAGCAATGCTGCAGTGTTATAAGCATTGCTTCATTGCCTGGCTGCCAGTTTATGCAGACACTTCAAGCATCAGATGGGTGTGAAGCAGAGCCGTGGGTGTGGAAGGATGCTTCTGGGACTGCCTGGGGTGGCTGTCCGCAAGTTGTGTGTGTGGGGGAAAAGGAAGGGCTGGTGCTCGAGATCCTTGTCGCAGCCTGCGGCAGTTTCTATTTGTAGCCATTTCATTTTGTGGACAGGGAATGTCTTTGCTTAGGTCGTGGCTATGGTGCAGTGGTGGTCACAACGCTGATGCCTGGCTCGACCCTAGTAGGATCCTGAAAGCTTGCAGCAAGTAACAAGTTTGGCGTGCATCTGGCAGAAGAGACGAGAGTGCCAACCATGCCTTTGCATCAGCCGCATTTCTTGGTTCCCAGGTGGCGTTGAACGAGGCCACGCGCAAGGCTGGTGCAGCCTTCGTGTGTTGAGCCCAGATTCCCAAAGTGCTGGGGTCGGTGAAGGCTTTCGGGTCCGCTCTGAGGCTAGCTGTCAACATGGGTGTCACCGCGTCCATCTTTTCTGACTTTGGGGCCAAGCATCTTGGCACTTGTGCTTCATGCAGGCTTGTGTTGCAGAGTGCAAGCAGTTGCGCTGCTGAACTTGGAATGCCTTTTTTCTTTTCTTTTTCCCGGTGGTTTGTTAAGGCATGTCATCTCTGACGAAGACGGCGAGCCCACGCAGATGCTTGTCGGGGTCGCAGGGAAAACGGCGGCAGGACCATGTTAAGCTTGCGCGCGTGTGCTTGTGCGTGTGCGTGTGCCTGTGCGTGTGCGTGTGAGCGCGCGCGTGCGCGCGTGTGCGAGTGTGCGCGTGTGCGCGTGTGCGCGTGTGCACGTGTGCACGTGTGCACGTGTGCACGTGTGTGCGTGCGTGCGTGTGCGCATGTGCGCATGTGCGCGTGTGCGTGTGCCAGTGTGCGCGCGTGCGCGTGAGCGTGCCCGTGCAAGTGCGTGTGCGTGTGCGTGTGCTTGTGCGTGTGCGTGTGGCTTGTGCGTGTGTGTGTGTGTGTGTGTGTGTGTGTGTGTGTGTGTGTGTGTGTGTGTGTGTGTGTGTGTGTGTGCGTGTGTGTGTGTGTGGGTGTGCGTGTGCGTGTGCGTGTGCGTGTTCGCGTGTGTGCGTGTGGTTTGTGTGTGTGTGTGTGTGGGTGTGGGTGTGCGTGTGCGTGTGCGTGTGCGTGTTCGCGTGTGTGCGTGTGGTTTGTGGGTGTGCGTGTGTGGGTGTGCGTGTGCGTGTGCGTGTGCGTGTTCGCGTGTGTGCGTGTGGTTTGTGTGTGTGTGTGGGTGTGCGTGTGCGTGTGCGTGTGCGTGTTCGCGTATGTGCGTGTGGTTTGTGTGTGTGTGTGGGTGTGGGTGTGCGTGTGCGTGTGCGTGTGCGTGTGCGTGTTCGCGTGTGTGCGTGTGGTTTGTGTGTGTGGGTGTGGGTGTGCGTGTGCGTGTGCGTGTGCGTGTTCGCGTGTGTGCGTGTGGTTTGTGTGTGTGTGTGTGGGTGTGCGTGTGCGTGTGCGTGTGCGTGTTCGCGTATGTGCGTGTGGTTTGTGTGTGTGTGTGTGGGTGTGGGTGTGCGTGTGCGTGTTCGCGTGTGTGCGTGTTGTTTGTGTGTGTGTGTGTGTGGGTGTGGGTGTGCGTGTGCGTGTGCGTGTGCGTGTTCGCGTGTGTGCGTGTGGTTTGTGTGTGTGTGTGTGGGTGTGGGTGTGCGTGTGCGTGTGCGTGTGCGTGTTCGCGTATGTGCGTGTGGTTTGTGTGTGTGTGTGTGGGTGTGCGTGTGCGTGTGCGTGTGCGTGTTCGCGTGTGTGCGTGTGGTTTGTGAGTGTGTGTGCCGCGCGCGTGCTCGTGTTTTGGTTTCTACTCGTGGTATGAAAAGCAACCCCCATGGTAGGCCGTGAAGCTTCTCGTGTGAGTGTGTGTATGATATGTTTTTGTCTTCGCATTCACAGCCACAGCTGGCTCCTTGGGACTGAGGCAGTCAGCGCAGCGGAGGTTGTCCCTGTAAGCGGCATTGTCAAGGCACGGCCCAACCAAATCTCACTGACTAGACCAGCGCTTTGTTTCCTCTCAGCCAGATTCTTTTGCACCGGCATATCGATGCAGCTAAAAACTTTCGTGGGATTCCGTCCGGCAGGAGCAGAGTCAAAGTGGGTTAGTCGCCACCAGGAAACCGCAGATTTTAGACACCATGTTTCCATTTGCCAGGGCAACCCATTTTTGTGTTACCAACTATTTTTGACCCGGAGCCAAGTGGAAACCTTACCTCGGTCTCGTGGGTTGACTCGGTGGCATCTCAGGTGGACGGCCGGAAGGAGGGTGAGAAGGTCCGAGCCATAGGTATTGCTCAAGGCTTTTCAACAGCACACGAGAAGTTTTTTCAGATGTGCAGCGGGTTGTTTTTGGTCTAGCAACTACTTTGGTGGTGTCAATAACCTTGGCCAAGCCGTGATCTTCAAGCTGTGGAGCCATTGCGGGCTCGTGTGTTTTTCTCTCTCTTTTTTTTCTTCTTCCGTGTTTCCCAAGCTTGCTTGTGGGTTCAATTCGGGCATGTCAATTGACCGTCCAGAGCTGTGAGCTAGGACTCCCTTTTCGCACTTATGCCCAAGTAGTTCTTGGCCTTCAGGGAATGCGGAATGGAATGACCCCAGGAAAAACAATCCGTCCTCAAACGTTTCCTTTCGAAAAATCCCCAAACGCTTCCTTCCCGACACCCGTTAGCACTCCTATCGCAGGTGCTGGTTCTGACCTTGGCCTCGGATCACGGCCTGCAGGCCAGGGAGTTCATGCTGGAGTCTCCCCCTTTTGCTTCGGAAGCTCCGGGGGAAAAGGCCAGTTTTTGCTGAGGCGGGCATTTTGGGTTCCAGCGGCCATCTTTAACTGAGCAAAGGCCTGGCTTTCTAGGCAGCAAAGAACAGACCATTCTAAGGCTACCACTTGCGGAGGCATCGCCCTCACTGGACAGCAAGTTAATGACTGACACTTTGCGCTTTGGCGTTTTTTTTGGGGGGTGTTCTGCCAGGACGGCGACACCGTGGCCTTGGACGACATGCGTGGCTCGTTGGACAGCTTTAATGGCAGGCGTGGGCACAGCTCGGCAGCAAGTTAGAAGTGTCGGAGACTTGGCCTTGGAGCTTTCACATGTCGCTGAACTTCATGGAGATATGGGTGTGTATTTTTCCGGGGTTCCTCCTTTGTGGTGCAATCTGAAGGGAAACGAACAGAGAATCAACTTTGGTTTGGACTGGGATTCCTGAACGCCGGCCAGGCAACTCAAAGTTCGTCGATTTGGCGTGGTGTCGCCGACAGATGCCAAGGTGGATCTGAAGGAGCCTCGGGTTTCCTTCAGCATTTGAGGTATTGGGTGGAAGCAACCGCACAAAATGCCACCTCGCACCATCCCCCGGAGTCGTTGTGAGCTGGCTGCCAATGGCTTGCAGATGTCTGCTGCTTGCTCGTGATTCAACAGCCAAAAACAAATCGAGACATGGCATGCAAATACCCTTCTTCTTTTCTTGCATGCAGCCTGCTGCAGTCGCCAACCCACTGCGTAATGTGCCATCGCTGTAAAGATGTCAGACTGACCGTATCTCAGACCTGGAGCTGCTAAATCCGCCTTCAGGCGGATTGCAGAAAAATCTAACCACCTCTCTGACGGATGGGGAACAAAGAAACAGAAGCCGTTCGTTGCTTTGGACTTGGCATTCTTTCTCCCATAAAGGGACACCAAAGCGAACATTGCCATTTTGTCCATTTTTAGAAACGCCTAGAATCCGTGGCATTGTTTGAGACGTGTTTGAGACTCATGCGCATCATCTACATCCATTCCGCTGTTTGTGCATCACCCCTGGCAGCACTTTCGCAGTCATGCCTCAAACATGTTGCATAGACGCAGGGTTGCTGCACTCTGCGGATTGGTCGCTTCATGCTCGGTTGGTGAAGACAGGACGTGTCCGTGAAAGAGATGCTGAAGTACACAACTGCGGAGGCTGGGTGCCCGTACATGAGCGTCGCATGTTTGAATGACCAGGTGCTCAGCAATTTTCAGCGCCAGTATGACCACTACAAGTCGGAGTTTCACTCCAGCGGCGCAGAGGGGAAGTTCAAGCAGCGCCTGACCCAGGGGCTCCCCAAAAAAACTGTGCTTTCCGTCAGTCCCTTTGAGCCACATGAGGCTCGCATCTGGGGTGTGGGGGCACCAGGCGAGAAATCACTCTCTTCAACCGCTTGGTGCTGGACGTTGAGGCGGACTTAGCTAAGAAGCGCAGGGAATCATGACTCGATGACTCGATGTCTCGACGGCCATGCCTTATGCAAGGAGTCTTGTGCATTTGGGTTCGAGTATTTTTCGCGTTTCGCTCACATCCAGCGTCATGGCGCCTGCTTCCTCTCGATTTCTCGGCACGGGTGTTGCCCTCGGCCTTGCCGGTGCCTTTGTGGCGCCTTCTCGACCGCAAGCGGAGCCCCAGTCTCGGGCGCCCGTGACCCGCACCCCTTCCGCCGCGCCGACCGGGACGACCGGGACGCTGGCAACCTTGGCTGCGGCATCCGTGACCTTGGCGGCCTTTGGCAAGACCCAACTCAAATCTACGGCTGCAAAGGACATCGACGTACCGGCTCCCTTCCAGCCTTCCAAGCAGTTCGGCGCAACTGAGCCTTTGGGCTTCTTTGATCCGCTTGGGTTCACTGCGGTGGGCGACGAGAGGGGCTTCCGCAAGTTGCGAGTCTCGGAGATCAAACATGGGAGAGTGGCGATGATGGCGTCTATCGGGCTGGTTGGTCAGCATTTCCTGAAGTTCCCGGCTTCGAACAGTCCCCGGCTGGCTTCTCCGTGATGGGCAGGGGCGAGGGTGTGCTAGGCTTCTTCGGCATCTTCCTGCTCTGTGCTCTCTTGGAGCTGGCTTGGCGAGAGGAGCCTGGCAGCGACAGGGAGCCGGGCAACTATGGCGACCCTTTCGGCGTGAACATGTACAACGACGAGATGAGGATGAAGGAGCTGAACAACGGGCGCATGGCCATGATTTCCGTTCTGGGTATCTTTGCGGCGGAGATGGCAACGGGCAAGGATGCCATGCAGCAGTTCGGTCTTCCTGCACTGGGTGCGGGGCTTGCCTCGTCAGCCTCAGCATCCCGAAGCAGCTTTGCAGGAAGCAGCTCTTCGCGAGTGGCAGCTCAGCAGAACATCCTGCGCCGAGCGGAAGCCGTGGTGGAGGACGTACTGCCTCCTTTCCAGCCCTCCAAGCAGTTCGGCGCAACTGAGCCTTTGGGCTTCTTTGATCCGCTTGGGTTCACTGCGGTGGGCGACGAGAGGGGCTTCCGCAAGTTGCGAGTCTCGGAGATCAAACATGGGAGAGTGGCGATGATGGCGTCTATCGGGCTGGTTGGTCAGCATTTCCTGAAGTTCCCAGGCTTCGAACAGTCCCCGGCTGGCTTCTCCGTGATGGGCAGGGGCGAGGGTGTGCTAGGCTTCTTCGGCATCTTCCTGCTCTGTGCTCTCTTGGAGCTGGCTTGGCGAGAGGAGCCTGGCAGCGACAGGGAGCCGGGCAACTATGGCGACCCTTTCGGCGTGAACATGTACAACGACGAGATGAGGATGAAGGAGCTGAACAACGGGCGCATGGCCATGATTTCCGTTCTGGGTATCTTTGCGGCGGAGATGGCAACGGGCAAGGATGCCATGCAGCAGTTCGGTCTTCCTGCACTGGGTGCGGGGCTTGCCTCGTCAGCCTCAGCATCCCGAAGCAGCTTTGCAGGAAGCAGCTCTTCGCGAGTGGCAGCTCAGCAGAACATCCTGCGCCGAGCGGAAGCCGTGGTGGAGGACGTACTGCCTCCTTTCCAGCCCTCCAAGCAGTTCGGCGCAACTGAGCCTTTGGGCTTCTTTGATCCGCTTGGGTTCACTGCGGTGGGTGACGAGAGGGGCTTCCGCAAGTTGCGAGTCTCGGAGATCAAACATGGGAGAGTGGCGATGATGGCGTCTATCGGGCTGGTTGGTCAGCATTTCCTGAAGTTCCCAGGCTTCGAACAGTCCCCGGCTGGCTTCTCCGTGATGGGCAGGGGCGAGGGTGTGCTAGGCTTCTTCGGCATCTTCCTGCTCTGTGCTCTCTTGGAGCTGGCTTGGCGAGAGGAGCCTGGCAGCGACAGGGAGCCGGGCAACTATGGCGACCCTTTCGGCGTGAACATGTACAACGACGAGATGAGGATGAAGGAGCTGAACAACGGGCGCATGGCCATGATTTCCGTTCTGGGTATCTTTGCGGCGGAGATGGCAACGGGCAAGGATGCCATTCAACAGTTCGGCTTCTGAGTTGGAGCACAATTGCCGAGGGGTTTAGTAAAGGGCTTTCTGGTAGATGTCTTTCGCAGAGACATGGTCCAGTGTGAGCGGATTTGTGATCTAGTTTTCGGTCCATGCACAATGCAAGATGACCAACTCAATCCTTTTCACATGTTCCATCATGTTTCATCTTCGAGCCCAGCAAGATTTCTCTTGCAGGCTCCCTTCCTATGGCTATTGGGCCTCAGCCCATTGCATGCGACGTCGCGATTGCGGCCGAAGGAACATGGGCACGACGCAAGAAGTTTTGACCTAGGCATGTGCTAGTTGATTGTGTTTGCAGAGGTTCGCAGGCCTTTCGTGTGAACTTAGCCAAGAAGCGCTGGTTCCCTGTGACACGCGATGACTCGATGTCTCGACGGCCATGCCTTATGCAAGGAGTCTTGTGCATTTGGGTTCGAGTATTTTTCGCGTTTCGCTCACATCCAGCGTCATGGCGCCTGCTTCCTCTCGATTTCTCGGCACGGGTGTTGCCCTCGGCCTTGCCGGTGCCTTTGTGGCGCCTTCTCGACCGCAAGCGGAGCCCCAGTCTCGGGCGCCCGTGACCCGCACCCCTTCCGCCGCGCCGACCGGGACGACCGGGACGCTGGCAACCTTGGCTGCGGCATCCGTGACCTTGGCGGCCTTTGGCAAGACCCAACTCAAATCTACGGCTGCAAAGGACATCGACGTACCGGCTCCCTTCCAGCCTTCCAAGCAGTTCGGCGCAACTGAGCCTTTGGGCTTCTTTGATCCGCTTGGGTTTACTGCGGTGGGCGACGAGAGGGGCTTCCGCAAGTTGCGAGTCTCGGAGATCAAACATGGGAGAGTGGCGATGATGGCGTCCATTGGGCTGGTTGGTCAGCATTTCCTGAAGTTCCCAGGCTTCGAACAGTCCCCGGCTGGCTTCTCCGTGATGGGCAGGGGCGAGGGTGTGCTAGGCTTCTTCGGCATCTTCCTGCTCTGTGCTCTCTTGGAGCTGGCTTGGCGAGAGGAGCCTGGCAGCGACAGGGAGCCGGGCAACTATGGCGACCCTTTCGGCGTGAACATGTACAACGACGAGATGAGGATGAAGGAGCTGAACAACGGGCGCATGGCCATGATTTCCGTTCTGGGTATCTTTGCGGCGGAGATGGCAACGGGCAAGGATGCCATGCAGCAGTTCGGTCTTCCTGCACTGGGTGCGGGGCTTGCCTCGTCAGCCTCAGCATCCCGAAGCAGCTTTGCAGGAAGCAGCTCTTCGCGAGTGGCAGCTCAGCAGAACATCCTGCGCCGAGCGGAAGCCGTGGTGGAGGACGTACTGCCTCCTTTCCAGCCCTCCAAGCAGTTCGGCGCAACTGAGCCTTTGGGCTTCTTTGATCCGCTTGGGTTCACTGCGGTGGGTGACGAGAGGGGCTTCCGCAAGTTGCGAGTCTCGGAGATCAAACATGGGAGAGTGGCGATGATGGCGTCTATCGGGCTGGTTGGTCAGCATTTCCTGAAGTTCCCAGGCTTCGAACAGTCCCCGGCTGGCTTCTCCGTGATGGGCAGGGGCGAGGGTGTGCTAGGCTTCTTCGGCATCTTCCTGCTCTGTGCTCTCTTGGAGCTGGCTTGGCGAGAGGAGCCTGGCAGCGACAGGGAGCCGGGCAACTATGGCGACCCTTTCGGCGTGAACATGTACAACGACGAGATGAGGATGAAGGAGCTGAACAACGGGCGCATGGCCATGATTTCCGTTCTGGGTATCTTTGCGGCGGAGATGGCAACGGGCAAGGATGCCATTCAACAGTTCGGCTTCTGAGTTGGAGCACAATTGCCGAGGGGTTTAGTAAAGGGCTTTCTGGTAGATGTCTTTCGCAGAGACATGGTCCAGTGTGAGCGGATTTGTGATCTAGTTTTCGGTCCATGCACAATGCAAGATGACCAACTCAATCCTTTTCACATGTTCCATCATGTTTCATCTTCGAGCCCAGCAAGATTCTCTTGCAGGCTCCCTTCCTATGGCTATTGGGCCTCAGCCCATTGCATGCGACGTCGCGATTGCGGCCGAAGGAACATGGGCACGACGCAAGAAGTTTTGACCTAGGCATGTGCTAGTTGATTGTGTTTGCAGAGGTTCGCAGGCCTTTCGTGTGAACTTAGCCAAGAAGCGCTGGTTCCCTGTGACACGCGATGACTCGATGTCTCGACGGCCATGCCTTATGCAAGGAGTCTTGTGCATTTGGGTTCGAGTATTTTTCGCGTTTCGCTCACATCCAGCGTCATGGCGCCTGCTTCCTCTCGATTTCTCGGCACGGGTGTTGCCCTCGGCCTTGCCGGTGCCTTTGTGGCGCCTTCTCGACCGCAAGCGGAGCCCCAGTCTCGGGCGCCCGTGACCCGCACCCCTTCCGCCGCGCCGACCGGGACGACCGGGACGCTGGCAACCTTGGCTGCGGCATCCGTGACCTTGGCGGCCTTTGGCAAGACCCAACTCAATCTACGGCTGCAAAGGACATCGCCGTACCGGCTCCCTTCCAGCCTTCCAAGCAGTTCGGCGCAACTGAGCCTTTGGGCTTCTTTGATCCGCTTGGGTTCACTGCTGTGGGCGACGAGAGGGGCTTCCGCAAGTTGCGAGTCTCGGAGATCAAACATGGGAGAGTGGCGATGATGGCGTCTATCGGGTTGGTTGGTCAGCATTTCCTGAAGTTCCCAGGCTTCGAACAGTCCCCGGCTGGCTTCTCCGTGATGGGCAGGGGCGAGGGTGTGCTAGGCTTCTTCGGCATCTTCCTGCTCTGTGCTCTCTTGGAGCTGGCTTGGCGAAGGAGCCTGGCAGCGACAGGGAGCCGGGTCAACTATGGCGACGCCTTTACGGCGTGAACATGTTACAACGACGAATTGAGGAATGAAGGAGCTGAACAAACGGGCGCATGGCCATGATTTCCGTTCTGGGTAAATCATTGCGCGGAGATGGCAACGGGCAAGGATGCCATGCAGCAGTTCGGTCTTCCTGCACTGGGTGCGGGGCTTGCCTCGTCAGCCTCAGCATCCCGAAGCAGCTTTGCAGGAAGCAGCTCTTCGCGAGTGGCAGCTCAGCAGAACATCCTGCGCCGAGCGGAAGCCGTGGTGGAGGACGTACCGGCTCCCTTCCAGCCCTCCAATCAGTTCGGCGCAACCGAGCCTTTGGGCTTCTTTGATCCGCTTGGGTTCACTGCTGTGGGCGACGAGAGGGGCTTCCGCAAGTTGCGAGTCTCGGAGATCAAACATGGGAGAGTGGCGATGATGGCGTCTATCGGGCTGGTTGGTCAGCATTTCCTGAAGTTCCCAGGCTTCGAACAGTCCCCGGCTGGCTTCTCCGTGATGGGCAGGGGCGAGGGTGTGCTAGGCTTCTTCGGCATCTTCCTGCTCTGTGCTCTCTTGGAGCTGG